TTTTGACATAGGGTCCATGTCATAGTTTCAGTAGCTCACATGACAGATTAGACTACAAAAATAACTACCGATGGAATACATAAACACCTAATCAAAGTTTTTACAATATATCAGGAAATAAATTAACTTTTTATTTAGCAAATATAAAGAAAACATACATAAATTTCACCTGGTTTATTTGAAATGCTTACTTAATTTTTGAATCATTTACTTGGGGAGTGAATTATGTCCTACTTCATATTCTACCAAACTCAGCTTAATAGAAAAATTAAAACTAAATAAATAAATAAATAAAAATGACAAGCTAATGTGAGTCCAGAATCACCAAAAAGTTAAACCAAAGGAAGCTGGCATCGTGATTGTAGAGTTCTAAAATAATATGCCCTAACATTCTATTCCAAAAGCCACAACAAATTAGAAACATTCGTATAAGTTTCATAAAGGAGCCATGTACCATGTTTTATAACCATTGTGGAAGTGTTTGCAGGCTTGCAGCCATCAGGGAATTGATGAATTCCGATATAAATCTTGGATTTTACATGGAAATTCAGATAAAATTCTGAGTTAGTAGATACGGAATATCAAGAATTTACAGAAAAAATAAATAAAAAGAGTGAGATTTGGGAGATAATACTAACTAATAATGAAAAGGCTGACTGAGATTTCTCCGAGCTAGAAGTTGAAGTTGAAAACGTTGAACGTCTGAACTCAATAAATCTCAGAGAGAAGAGCATGTTGCTTAGTACGATAGTAATAAAACGTAATGTTCCGGATCTAATAGAGAGGCGATCAAATGAGTCGAAGGTGCTATGCATAGAAGTATAGAACATATCCGAAGAAATATGAAATACCAGATGCTATAACTCGTTAAGTGAGTAGACTTAGTTACCTAAATACCCCTACACTAGTTTTTAATCCAGTGTATCGAGTACATACAATGACTTCTGTAATTTAATGGAAAACATGTCTCGAGGTTTCGAGCTATAAGCTTCAGGCATTTTAAATTTTTCCGGGAACTTTTGTATAAATGTCTGTATCGAGTGAACCGTATAAATATGCAGTCACTACATCCATTAGGCACATTTGCAGCCTTTCAAAAACAGACATGCCAATGAGAAACCTTAATGTAGTTGCATCAACTACTGGAGGACATGTTTCTTCATAATCAATTTCTGGCATTTGAGAAAACCCTTGGGCAACAAGTCGGGCTCTATATCTTACGATTTCATTTTTCTCATTGCGTTTACGCACAAATACCCATTTAAAGCCCACTGGTTTTACACCTTTTGGCGTAGGGACTATCGGTCCAAAAACATCACGTTTTTCAAGTGATTTAAATTCAGCCTGAATAGTTTCATTCCATTTTGGCCAAACGTGTCGTGTCTGACATTCTTCAATTGATGTTGGCTCGTTGTCATTGTTTTCATTCATAACATTTGTGGCAACGGCATAGACAAATATCTCATTAATATCTATATCTTTTCGATTCCATTGTATTCCAGTAGAAACGTAATTTATTGAAATTTTGTAATTATCAACGTTTCTATCATTATCTGGAATATCTTCCCCGTTCAAGGAAGCTGGATCATCATTTGAGATGTTTGTTTTGTTAATATCATTTTCTATGCCATTATTTTTAAATTGTTCATTTTCTTGTTCAGAAGGATGAACGTCTTAGGCATCACAAATCAATACATGCCTTTTAATTTTTCTTGGTTTTATGTCTTTTGATCCAAGTGGCCTGTCACGCTTTTTGCGTATAGAAGAATCATTTGCAAGAGATTTTTCAAAATTCTCTGTTGGGATTTCGATTCTGGCATGGGCATTCATGGTAGGAATATGTGACTTTGTCACTTTCTTTGTATCTATGAATGCATCAGACAACTGATTTGCAATATTTTGTAAATGGATTATCTTTTGTACCTCTTGCTCACATATATTTGATCTTGAGTCAAGATGTGATAATCCTGTTGCATTCCATGTAATCTCTTTCGTACTTGGGTCTAATTTAGTATTTTCTCCCCCTAAGGTCGGGAACACTGTCTCATCGAAATGACAGTCTGCAAACCGTGCAGTGAATAAGTCACTAGTCATCGGTTCGAGATATTTTATTATTGAGGGAGATTCAAATCCAACATAAATTCCCAACAATCTTTGAGGACCCATTTTTGTATGATGAGGTGGAGCAATTGGAACATAAATAACACAACCAAATATTTTTATGTGTGCTAAGTTTGGCTCTTGTCGAGTAACTAATTGCATTGGGAATATTCATTATATGCAGTCGGTCTAAGCCGAACTAAATTTGCTGCATGTAAAATAGCATGTCCCCAAACTGATGAAGGTAACTTACACTTCATTAATAATGGTCTGGCGATTAATTGTAATCGTTTAATCAAAGATTCTACAAGACCATTTTGTGTATGGACATGAGCAAAAGGGTGCTCCACATCAATCCCAATCGACATACAATAGTCGTTAAATGATTGACATGTAAATTCTCCTGCATTGTCAAGTCGGATTCTCTTTATATAATGATCCGGAAAATGAGCTCTTAATCGTATGATTTGAGCAAGGAGTTTAGCGAATGCCAGATTTCTAGTCGATAACAGACTGACATGTGACCAACGTGTTGAAGCATCAATCAACACCATAAAATATCGAAATGGTCCACATGGTGGGGCTATCGTCCCACAAATATCTCCTTGAATCCTTTCTAAAAATGCAAGTGATTCAGTTGCAATTTTGTTCATAGAAGGCTTGATGATCATTTTGCCAAGAGAACAGGCCTTACAAGGAAAATCACTTGATAATGGAACCCTGATATTCTTTAATGGGTGTCCAAGTGAAGTCTTAATAATTTTATGCATCATTACTTGGCCTGGGTGACCTAAACGGTCATGCCACAACATGAATGTTTTTTATCATCTAACTTTGTGTTAGAAACCAAGTTTATTTCGAATGGACTTATATATGTGAAATATAGTCCTGAGGAATATGCTGGCATTTTTTCACAAATAAATTTACTTCCAGATTTAGTTGTCGTAAGGCAAAGATATTCCTTTTGATTTTCATTCATGATTTCTATGTGATAACCATTTTGACGCATATCTTTAAAGATCAATAAATTTCTTCACGACTTGCTGGAGTATATAGCATCATTTATAATTATTTGTGTTCCGTTAGGGAGCATCACATATGCTTTCCTAGAGCCTTCAATGAGCTTCGCAACACCTGATATTGTATTGACTTTAGCTTCAAATAAAGTCATTTGAGAAAAATATATTTTAGTTCTCAAAATGTTGTGCGTTGTGGCGCTGTCCATCAGACATAGCTCTTTGTCATTTGAGTGATCCATATCTTCAATATGCGTGATAAACATAAGCTTGATCACAAATTGTGCATATAATTTAACATAAAGTACATATATTACACACATTTATTTAAAAACAAAAGAAAAAGGGGAAGAAAGAAAAAGCACATAAAACTAATGTGTTACAACATAAGGATCGGTGTCTAATATTTTATTTTGTGACATTATGGTTTATTGCTAATGCATCGTCCATAATGACATCATCCACAAAGAAGCCGGACACATCAAATTTTGGCAGAGGTGGAGTTGTGTCATTAACATAATTAGCTTCCACATTTTTGCCTTTGTTCAGATTCATGGAAGTTTGAAATAACTCCACCAGATGTTTAGCCGTGCGACAATTATTAGCCCAGTGCCCCGTCATGCCACATTTATAACAAGTCAACTCTCCCGAGGACTTTGGAGGGCGATTTATTTGATGTGCCTTTTGTTTGCCATTGCCCTTGTAATTTGGTCTTTCGACCTGTTTGTATTCTCGGCGTGACTTGTTTTTATGACCATTAAAATACCACGTTTAAAATGCCTTCTACTGCCATTGTATGTTGCATTTGATTCAGTGGCTAAATTATGTCCAGATGGACCATAAACCGAAGGACCAGAACCAGGGGGTCTCAGATTATGATTTTTCATCAAAATGTCATTATTTTGCTCAGCTACCAATAATACCGATATTAAGTCGAAGTATTAATTCAATATTTAACACATAAACTCACTTTTTAAGATATGTACCACCTCCTCATGTATCAAAGTTAGGAGGACTGATGTAGTAGTATTTAATAAATTATAAATATTGAGTCTTATTTGTGCATTTATGTTTGAATTGATTTTTTCTACAAATATTACTAAAATAAAACTTATTTACTCAAATATGACAAATAGTTACTACAATACAATGTTATGGTCTCTTAAGTTTAAAATTTGCACATAAATTACTATAATTAAGTTACTATTATAATCAGTAGTTATATTTTTGCAAACAATTTTTATTTCAGGTATAAAATATGTACTACCTCCGTCTTGTTGAAAAGTTCTTGTTGCAAATGACGTGATTATTTATACAATAATTAAATATATCAATTCAAGTATATTTTTAGAAATAGTTTTGATGACTATATAATACTACACATAATAAGTTATTGATAATAATCATGATGTTATAGATGTATTATTTTTAATATTTGATAATTAAATTGTTATTTAAAAGTGTTAATTATTTTGTAAAATAAAAAATAAATACCTTTAAATGAGTTGTCCAAAAATAAAAAGTGAGAATTTTGAATAAGACGTATGGAGTAATAATTTCCTTATGTTTAGTTTAATTCTATCTGAACAACTTTTCTGTTATTTTAAACCTACTAGGGAAAATTTCCGAAATAGGAGTAAAAAAGTTTGAATATTCCAAAATAAGACTGTCATGTTTTTATTCCCAAAATAGGAGCAATTACTGCCAAGTTTGGAAAATACTGACATGTTTAAAGTCTGGTACTGCCAAAACATGACAGTAGTTAGTCCTATTTTGGTAATAAAAATATGATAGTTCTATTTTGGAATATACAAACGTTTTTAGTCCTATTTTTGGTAATTTCTCTACCTATTAATAGTGCTACTCTGCGATCATATATTTTTCGAAAACCATATATTTCAAAAAAAATATTGATGCCATGCGACCAACCGCATTGGCATGAGATAGGTGAAGACCCCCCAAAAAAGACAACAATTCATTCATCCGGTATGTCTTTAATATATTGAGAAAACATACATAGTACGAGATAACGAGAACCAAAGAAATTGAGTACTGCTACTAAAGAAACCTTCAATGTGAATTTGTAAGAGATTCTATAGCACTTGCTTTTCTTCATCGCCACACCATTTTAGTTTGTTTATACCCATATTCCGATATCGTATACACACAAACATATACAGTCTGGCATCTCTTTATGCCTTTAACCTGGAGCTGTAATGATCTGATTCGTTGAGCTAGCGGCTATTGCAGGTCAGTTATCTTTGATCGATAAGCCTCAAAGTGTAGATTTTTCATAGGAAAGTTGATGAATTACTGATTGATATTAGCTCGGTTGTATAACTTGTATTGATGTTTCTTGAGGTTTGAATTTACTATTGAGGATTGGGCTGTTCAATTATGTCGCCCAGTATAGCCAGGCTGAGATTTGAATGCATAAGTGATATTTAATGGGGTATTTGGTGGGAAAGACACCCGCGGATTAAATTAATTAAATATCTGGCTGATGAGTTTGATTTCATGTTCATCTTAGAGTTAGGAGTAAAAGTTTGTTTCTTTTTAATTTGCCACTGAGGAAGGGTCTTGTTCTTCTGAACGGCTTGCAGTTGAAGAGTTAATATTTTTTCCCCATATGTATAGAAAAAGAAGCTAATAGGGGGAGCTGGATTCAAGTGTGAGGTGCAAGAAGTTTGATGCGCAAGTTTTCTGGTTAAAGGCACATCCTCTGCTTCTTTAATCAAGTGAGAGTTTTTTGTTCTGAAAGCTAACTCTTGGATAGAAAGATGGCGTCTGAGCTTGTTAGTTCTGCAACAAGTGAAAAACTTGAGGAAACAGACTGGGCGAAAAACATTCAGATTTGTGAATTAGTTGCTCGTGACCACGGGTACAACATATCAGTTTCCCTGATATGCGTTTCATTATCTATTTATGTTGTCAATGTTTGCGAAGTCTTGGCATTGTTTTTTCATAGTGCTTCGGCCCAAAGCGGTATGTTTAGAGGGAGGGAATTGGTGGGAAAGGGAAAAAATGCCAAGTACTAGTATTTTTTAATGCATAGTTCTACATTGGCAAGTACGGAGGAAATCAAGTTCGATTCAAACTTTACAAACTTTTGCATTTATTTAGATTAGATTTCTTATTCTGTAAATAATATAATTATTTTAATAAAATGAAGTTTAAAAATATCTAAAATTGATTTATATCCCTCTATTTTCCTCCCTATTTTTACCCTAGCATTTTTTGGGTTCCAAGCGAACCCTAAGGGACAACGTTGCCTTCAACTGTGTTTTCAGTAGAAATGCTAATATACACTACGGAGTATTAGGCAACTGAAGCCTAATTCAAATTCTTGTTTGGACAAGTTTACATAAAATGCAGATACATGTATCATTAAAAAAATAAAAACAATCCTTTTAATGCCAATTTTCTGTTGAAGTAGTGCTTCATGACAAAAAAGGGCTTAAGGGCACCCTGGTGCACATTGGTGTCCCCGAAAGGTGAGGGTCCGGGGAAGGGTCTCACCATCAAGGTGTATAAGGAGCAAACCTTCCCTTGTCATTTTGACAAGAGGCTGCTCCCAAGACTTGAACCTGTGACCTCTCGGTCACACATCGACACCGTACCGGTGCTCCATGGCTCTCCTTGTAGTGCTTCATGGCATGCGGAGAAAAAAGTTTCTACACCATTGAAAGTTGGCTATTTTACATTTACAAGCATATGTCCTGAAATAGTGTCTCTCTTCGATTTCCTCAGTCAAGCTAAAGATGTTATTAAAGCAATAAAGAAGCGCCTCGGGAAAAAGAACCCAACTACTCAATTGTTGGCCGTGACGGTTAGTCATGCCACGTTTATGTCTGGTTATGATTCATTTTCCAATTTAAGGAGTTATTCTGGTAAGCATATTTAATAATTTCAGTTGCTGGAGATGCTAATGAACAACATTGGAGATCCTGTTCACAAGCAGGTTATAGACACAGGGGCTCTCCCAATTCTTGTAAAGATAGTAAAGAAAAAGGTTCTTTATCTTCTCTCGGTGCAATTATTCCCGTCTCCATGAATCCAGTATGTCTTTAACAAAAAATTGCTCTATAGTCAGATGTACCTGTAAGGGAGAAGATTTTTCTTCTTCTAGATGCTGCACAGACTTCAGTTGGTGGGGCTTCTGGGAGATTCCCTCAGTACTATTCTGCGTACTATGAGTTGGTGGTAGGTACTACAAACACATCATAACTACTCCATCCTAGAGTTGTAGGATAGTTTTTCTTTATGCTGTAGTACTTACAGTGATTGGAAACTCTGCATATCAATCTGTAATTATTAATTAGCTTAGAGGGATTGCCACTAAATCTGGGAAATATCCTTTTCCCAATAGTGTAGGAGGACTAACAGTGTGTTTTAATTGGAGAGGAAGGTTACTAAATGAAAGGCAATGAACGTAAATGATCAAAAAATTAGCAAATAAGGGGAACCAAGTGGATTAAAAAGTAGTCCTCCGTGTAATTTATAAAACGATACAAGATTTTGGTTTTTGTAGGGGAATATCTTATTTTCTCCATCTATTTGACCCCAATTTGGAGATATGACATTTGTGGGGAATGGGAGCGTAGTTGTCACGGCATTACCTAGGCAATGACTGAGGCATCCTGGCGGTGAGCAACTTCACCATGGAAGGATTGGGCGGTCATTTGGCCTGAAGTCACATTGCATTGATCAGCGTAACTTAGGCATAAACTAGGTGATTTGGGCAATACACAGACCAAAAATCTTTGCTAAATCAATTTTGACCTTTCAACCCGACCTGTTTTCCAAAAATTATATTTATTTAATTGGTGAAAAAAGAGAAAATACCTACAAGAAATGCGCTCCTGCCATTGCTTTCCGTCGTTACTCGCCACCACTTCTCGCCAACTCGCCTGTTTGCCTTACATCTCTTTCCCTTTCTTCTTTTCTTGTTTCTTCATTTTCGAAGGCAGTCATGTGTTTTGGTTCTTTATTATTTAATATGAGTGATCTATGTTGCACATTGGTGTTGTTGTCATTGATAGCTTGTGCGTCAATATCCACTTTTCCGAAAAAAGCAAAATGAAGATGAAAGTTGAAGGTGAAAGGCGTGGTAGAAACGGAAAAGGTACAATAAATGTGAAGAGCAAAATCTAGATCTGATTTTTTAAATGGAATTGAGGAGAAGAAATGTAAGATATGAGGAAGAGATAGGCAGTGACGTGTGTGAAAATAGAAGAGAGAGAAGTGTAATGAGAACGGGTGGTAAATTAAAGTAAAATATAAAAGGTAGGTATGGTTAATTAAAAATTTATAAGGAGAAATAAATGAGATGAGTAAGGATAGAAAAGTCATTCTAGGTATTTGTTTTTACCTAAAAGAGTAATGTTGCAATCATTTTGAAATTGCCAAAAAAGGAAAGTGTTGCAATGTATAAAAAACGGAGGGCGTGATTCCTAGCACCCCATTTTGTGGTCAACTCAAAGAACCCCTAAGAGAAAAAAGTTGCAGACAGTGTATATTTGGTACTCATATATATTTTGCTTAAGAATTACTAACACCAGGAACAGTGGTATTATACTGCAATTACATTATGACTTTTACATCCCAGTATGATACCTCAGCAGGATGCTTTGGTGTTCTTTGAAAATTCTATGCAATTTAATCCATTGTCAGCAGTTCTGCATTGTTACTCCTTAAAATGAGGAGGGGAAACAACAATATTTTCTTTTGACATTGAAAAGGGTGTTGGAAAAAATAAGGATTTTTGTTGATGCGAGCGACATAGAAAGTAATAAAGTACTACATATTGTTTTGCCTGTACAATTAAATGTAGATTAAGCTTGGATGGAAAGACAATGCAATGGAACATAAACATTACTTCAAACTCAATATTTTATACGGAGTGTATATATATATATATATATATATATATATATATATATATATATATATATATATATTTGTTCAGACTCATTTTTATGGATTTATTTCAATGATATAAAGGACTAATGTTTTAAATATATTAAAACAACATATTGACTAACATGGCTGAGGACAGCGTTAATTTTCCTCGGCATATTTGGTCTTTCTCTAGAAATTGCCTGGATCCCAAATATACCTTTAGGAAGCATATTTCAACCGCATTCATAGTTTATGTGAGCATTTGATGGAAACAAATTGATGCAAAAGCGGTGTTTAATGTTTGACATCTCAGAATGCAGGAGTGCAGTTTTCTCAAAGATCAACTACAGTCCCAAAAGAGCATCACCCATCATCCAATGAGGGAAGGGTTAACCTTTGTGAGAGAAAACCACCTCAGCCGGAAAAGAGTGTGGTAAAAGAACCTAAAAAAGTTTCCGATTCGAGGTATCTTTTGTTGAAATTGTGTTTCAAAATTTCTCTTCAGTCCAACCCAAGCCAAACCGCAAATACAAGTTATTTTAATTGTAGCGACTAGAGAATATCGTGTTTTTCATATTTCAGAATTTCCTTTTCATGCTCTAAAGAGTGGTCCATATAATGATTTTGTGCATTTGTACATAATAATACTTGATGATCCAAATACTGCATATTAGTTAGTTTCCAGTTATGGCTAAAAGTAACGTATGAACCCGTGTTTGTTTGGCACTGTACCCAACATGGGAAAAGAGAAGTTGGAAAAAGTAAAAAATCAGAATATTGAAAAACTCATACGGAGTATTTACTTTTGAACTTCTGTAGTACTACATACTACGTATCTCTTGTTCTTTTATGCGGCAACTTTTCAACTCCTTTTTTGCCCATACGACCATTTATCTGATAAATTCATAATAAAAACAAATGATGAGAAATGTCATTCCATTAAATATTTTCCATGAGCATAGATAGCACCAGGTGTCCTTTTGCAAACATGTTACATTAACCATTTGTTTAAATTGTATTGTTTATTATTTAGGGAAAAAGGTCAAATAAACCCTTCTACTATTTCCAATCCATCACTTAAGCCCCTATATTAAAAAAAGCATCATATAAGTATATTTACTTTAAAAAATTGGTCAATCTGACCATTTTATCAGTTTTTGACCTCTAATAGTAGGGTTTTTATATAAAAAAGTCTAAAAAATGTTAAAATCTGAAGAAATATAGATAAAAATTGTGAAAAGTTTCAGAATGTCAAAGTCAAATATTTTGCGTTTTCGAAATTATTTTTATATCCTACATCTATTTAAAAGATTTTTACATTTTTTATTTTATATTTTTTACATTTTCAGTTTTCTGATTTTTTATTTTTTTATTTTGTTTTTAAATTATTTATCTACTTTTACATTTATACTATTTTTTATATTATTATTACATTACTTTTCAAATTTGTATGATTTTTTATAAGATTTATCAATAGTCCTAATTTACTTTTTTTATTTATAAAAATAACCTGCTATAGCAGGTCAATTGTATTTCAAAACTAAGCGTATTTATGTGATGCTTATTTTAGTAGAAGGGCTTAAGTGATGGATTGCAAATAGTAGAAGGGGCTATTTGACCCTTTTCCGTATTATTTATTAATAACGGGGGACGAAACTTTTATCTACCTCTGATTTTTTCTCTCTGGCTATTTTAGTAAAGTTTACTTACCATTATATGACTAGTAATGGGTGTACACGCATAGGATATGCTTTAATATAGCAGTTACATTTACAAAATGGCATGTCCTTAATGCATCATTCTAGGGAAAAAAACTACCCAAGTCATACATTGGGAAATTGCACCTCTTTTAGTCATACATGTGTTAACTTTCTCAATAGACTACTACCTACGCTCACAATATTAAAACACATGTACCTGGACAGTATTCTGCAGAAGGCCAGTGCATCAATGGAAGTCTTAAGAGATGTCCTCGGTGCTGTTGGCACTCAACATCCCGAGGTACTGAAGCTCTCTTGTGGTCTATTTATATACTCTAAGCATTTTTTCATGAGATGCTAAGATTTGACTGTTACCTGTTTTTCACTCCAAGGGAGCAAGGGATGAGTTCACACTTGATCTTGTGGAGCAATGCTCATTTCAGAAGCAGAGAGTAATGCATCTTGCAATGACGTCTCGGTAATAATTTCTCACCTACGTTTTGCTTATAATTCTACATGATTTAGAAGCTTAAAGACTGTATAATTAAAGATATGAGTGCATGGCCTAAGGGCATAGTGACAAAAGTATGAGACTGGTGTAGTGGTGTTTGATACTCAAGTAACTTTACTGCTTTTACTTTTACACTCAAAATGAGTCAATAAATGTCCAGGTCAAGTACTGCAGCTAAGAACCATTTGAACTTGTCAGTCTTAGTGGGCACAAGGTCTTTTGTGCAAAATAGCCAATTCATGGAATAAAATGGCTGCGAGTTACAAATAAGATAAAATCAAAATTTATTCAACGTGAACCTACTTGCTTGCACTTCACATATGAATATTACAAATAGAGGCAATTACAAATCATAGATGGAGAAGAGTATTTATAATTTACTACTTTAAAACTTTTGAGTTTTGATGCCTTGTGCTAATTGTGGTTTATGATTATGTATGTCCCAAGTTATGCTCTTGAGGTTGTCAGACTGTAATCTGTCACACCCTTCAATGAAATTAATGACTCTGTGAAGCATATGTTCTGCATTGCTGACATTGTTCAGGGATGAAAAGGTTGTGTCTAAAGCAGTTGAGATCAATGAACAACTAGATATGGTGCTTAAAAGGCATGATGCTCTTGTTTCAGTTCATCCAACCCAGATTTCATCTCATGTTGACTATGAACAAGCGGAGGTAGAGGACGCTGAGCAGCTTTCCCGAAGGTATTATGTTGTTATAATTTGTGGCATAGGAACCCAGACATATATTTAGTCATACTGCCACATCATGAATGAACCTAATTTTCTTTCAATAACATGTAAACTTATTTCTGTATATCATAAAAAGCGCCACCTTTTCATTTTCCTTCTCATTTTCCATTACAAAACCATCACACAATGAATCAAGGAAAATATTTTCAGTATGATGGTATTGGGCTACTCTGGCCCTTTTGTCCCCATGATTATCCAAGCATGCAGCTTTGCGTAATCAATTTATATTTTCATGTCACATGAATAAACAAATCCATAGGATGAGAAAAGGAAAAGCTCTCCTTCAACCTGAAGATAAAGAACGGCCATTGGGAATGCTTGGATCATCCATTCCAGGAAAATTGCTTCACCGTCCACTCATAAGGCCAATCCCATCTTTAGACCAGAAGCAAGAGCGCGATCCAGGGAAAGCAGCAGCAGCTGCTGCAATTCCACCACCACCTGCAAAACATGCCGAGAGAGAAAAGTTTTTTCAAGAAAACAAACCAGACGGTTCTGCTTTATCTGGTCACATCAGACGTCTCTCCTTACATAGTCGCACCGCCAGTAGCTCCCATAGCAGCAGCGTTGATTTTAGCGATGACTGAGCAGTGAATAGAGCACCCCTCAACGTGAGACTCTTTCACTTTCACAGTTTACTGGAACATGCTAAGTATGTATTTGTGTATATTATTGTTAGTTATCTTTTTGGTTTGGCATTTGACGGAAAAGGAAGTTGCATTGGAGTTAACATTCAAGTTTCTCTTTTAGTTCATGATCCCTGTTTGAGAGGAATATGTGAATGTTATGATGCCCTTTACCAGTGCAATGCCCCTATGACATGTAGGAATAAGTTCAAATGACCTCACAATTTTGTTTTTGATATGTAATAATACCTGGTTTATCTCAAAATGCCTCAAATTCTAGATACTCCAGTCTAACTCGTTAAAGTTCTTATAGATTGCTGTTTTTTTTGGAAAATTTTGATCAGAACTAGTCACCGTTTTAGACTAGTAAGTAAAAAGACAGTATCTCTCTTTTTTCTTTCTAATTTTATCATTCTATATTCAATATTCAATTACTAAAGTATAATATTTCGTACAACAATATCTGAAATCTCATTATGTTCCTAAATGATCTTTACTAGGGATGGACCGGTTCCGGTTTGCCCGGCCTGGCTTGCCACTGTGCGGGATCGGCCCGGGCCTAGGACCTGACCCGGGGTGTTTTGGGGGCGGGCTCGGGCCAAGTTTTTTTTGGAACCGGCCTGGCCAGTTCGGGCCGGTCCGGGCCGGGCCAATTTTTTTTCAAAGTCTTTGGGTGGTAGGCGGGTTGGGCACTTGGGCTGGGTGTTTTGGAGGGATTTGGGGTGTGGGGTAGGAATTAATTAGAAAAGCAAAAAAAAAAAAAACCGCTACCTGACTCGATCTGGTCCTGGTAGAATCCTGGGCCGGTTCCAGGCCTTAATCCCTACTAAAAAAGCCTGGTTTAGACCAGCCCGGAACATAGGGGTGGACTCGGGTCGGGTGGCCTGACCCGGAACCGGCCCTGGAATCGGCACTGTGTTGAATCGGGCCGGCCCGGTGGCTTGACCAGTGATCGGTCCGGGTAGGCCTGACCCGGTGGGTTCCCGGTGCGGGCTTGGGTCACCCAAATGCCGAACCGGCCCGTCTGGTTCGGGCCCGGTTCTGGGCTTTTTAATTTTTTTTTCAATTTTTTCAGCTTTTCGGGTTGGGTTGGGTATTTGGGCCATTTGGGGTGGGGGTTGGGAGGGGGGTTAATTAGGACCCGGTGAATACCCGGCCCGGTCCTGGGCCCACCTATTCAGAACTGACGGCCCGCCCGGGCCTAGGTCTGACCCGGATCCGACCCGACCCGAATCCACCTCTACCGGAACCGGTCCATGCCTAATCTTTACACTTTTTTCCTCCTTTACTAAAGTATAATAGATTCTCAATTCCCAAATAGAAATAAAATACTTGTACAATATATATTGTTTATACTTTATACCCGGCATTGTAATATTAGAATTAAAATATGTAAACCATCAACTCTATTGTACTCCCTTTATCCTGCTTCAAGTTTTTTACTTGTCATTTTTAGATGATTTGTTGAAGTCTCACATCGGATATCTATAAAGTAATAAAATGCTATATTAAGATTTGGGTTATTTCTCTGGTGACATGGTATCAGAGTAAATCGATTCATAACCATGAATTATAAAAATGAAAACTCCGGATTTTAACATGTCTGAGTTAAAACTTCTCATTTCTATTTTAAAAAACTTCTCATTTCTATTTTTAAAAACTTTTTTTAAAGATTTTAGAAAATAATTAGTATTCTTAAAATAATAAATTAATCATCAAATATTAAAAATAATATACTTATAGTAATATCAGAGGCGGCTTGAGCATTTTGGAGGCCCCAGACGAAAACTATTTACTATGTACAAATCACTTTTAAAATCAGATAAATTGAATAAAAATCGCCTTATGAAAAAAAGCATATTCAAAGTCCACGATATAATGTTTGTAATATTCAAAAGGATAAATTTTAAAATGCAAACTTATTCAAAACACAAGGCAAACTTGTACTTATAAAAGTATTAAGAGACTTCAAGAACGAGACTCAGAGAGAAGAGCTGAAGAGTCTTAGTTGATTCACTAACCAAGGACCCATGTCGACGGCGGGCAGTGAGGCATATATACAGTAGCCGATTAGCGGTCTGTGTTGGACGTTGATGCGTGTTGAGATCAGCTTTTGATAGTTTTTTCCTAACTTTAAGGTGTCATAAGTCTCAATTTTAAGCTCAAGTCATATTTACCGGCCGTTGGTTCGAGTTTTGGTATTTTTAGAGTCAAAATCAGGGAATTTGAGCCTGGCACCGGTGTTTGAGAAGCAATAGGAACGAGTTGAGAAGCATTTTAGAGTTGATTAGGAGCATTGGAGATCAGTGAGGTGTTAAAGACAAATTTTTGAAGACAAAAGAGCTCTAGAATTGGCTACGTGATCAAAAGAAGGCGAATAGAGCTTGAAAACAACGGTCAGGATGACGTTCTGTCAATCGTTCAAGCATATCTTTTCTTAGGAACATCCAAAAAACATGATTCAAGTTTCATATGAAAGCCAACTTCAAGGGCTACAAATCATATGAAGACACCATTGTGAGAATCTGAGAGAAGCAAGGTGACAACAGACGATGAAGTCAGACAACCTGTTGAGATTTCAGAATGCGACCTTCCACCATTTTATTCATATATTTTTATTGGATGATTCAAATCCAGTTTTGCAAGTTGTGTTGGATAGAAAACTTCATTAGCTACAACTTTGATGAAGGAAGAATAGTCAAAAGTGAACTATAAAGCTGATTGCTGTTTGCAGTTGTCGCTTGGTGTATTGGCGGTCTGCGAATAACACCTAATACTAATACCAGAGTAGAATTTTTTGGAGGCCCTCTTGATAGTTGAGGCCCAAGGCAGTTGCCTGGCCCAACTGCCCTCAAAGCCGCCCCTGAGTAATATCACAATAATCATAAATGATTTTATTATGTTATATACCTATCAAAATCACGAAAATTGACTCGTATTTAACTTAATCAATTAATGTACCTTAATCAATTATGTGATTTAAATAACCGCGTCTTTCTTAAATGAGAAATCAAATCGGGATGGAAGTATTATCTGATTTCTTTCTTTGTTATTTCTTCATTTTCTTTTTCGTGGTGAAAAAATGAAATGCAACATTATATTATACACTCCGATTTTTGTTGAACAAAATCGGGCTCCGCTGGGGGTGGCCTACACCCATCCGTTGCTCCGCCGTGATTATCCACAACTTGTGGAGATTACCGAACAATACTCCATTTTCATTTTACATTTTTTTATTGCATCATTTCGAAGACTTTGCAAGCAAACCCCCACTCCCTGAAGTTCTCTCTTTCCCGTCTAATGGCGACTGGGATTACAAGTCGAGTGATTTCTCCATCGCCAGCACACAGTGTTTCATCCCAATGGCTCCTGTCGAAGACACGCTCAATTTCCGTCGGCTCCTCTAAAAGGACTATGTGTTACTGTCCTTGCTCCCTAGCTAAATTTCCGGCATCGTCGAGTACCAAATGCTCTGCGGTTTCTGCTGAACGGTCGGCGGTCACTTCGAATGTTCAGCAAGTATCCACTGCTCCGCTCGTCGCAGATGAAAAGTTCGGTGTGCTGCTGCTCAACCTCGGCGGGCCTGAAACTCTCGAGGACGTACAACCTTTTTTGTTTAACCTCTTCGCCGATCCGGTGAGAAGTAAAACTCAGAGCTGATCTTATACTGTTTCGTTGAGCTTTTATTTATCGCGGTTTTCATTTCTATTATACTAATGTAATAAAATGTCTGGTCCAAGTAGGATATAATTCGGTTGCCAAGGCTGTTCCGGTTCCTGCAAAATCCGTTGGCTCAATTCATATCTGTTGTTAGAGCTCCAAAGAGCAAAGAAGGGTATGCTTCAATTGGCGGTGGATCTCCTCTTCGACGGATAACGGATGCCCAGGCAATGATATGCAATCATAACCTCTTTTAAATGATGCCCATTAGCCCATAGACATATATGTGTATTAGTTCTGTAGTAAAGGTTTCAAATGATTACTCTAGTTTGGTTATAAAACCACCATAAAAAAGATCCTTAAATTAGTTTAGGGAAGAGGAGGGTTCTGAAAGATGTCCTTGTTCCATACATTCATAGGATGAACTTACATAATCAGAGGAGCTCTAGAATCATCTTTATGGCTTTACCAGCTCACAGATAGTTGCAGTGGATGAAGAATGCCAATTTGCGATCTAGGCTAATTAGCCTTTAGCCCTGAAAAGGTAACAGGACTGAGATGTCTGGTAGTAGTTTACCAGAGGCATGAACTAGATATATAAACCAGAATAAGAGAATAGATGGATTAGATATTCATAAGATAAAAAGTTGTTAATGGTTGACTTAGATATCTTTTATAAATGGACCATGGATGGATTGTACAGTTTTAAAAATTTAATGATGTTTTAATCAAGTAATGTATTGTAAATGTATTAATAATTTAATAGATTGTTTTAATCCATCTATTACAATCCACATGAAAATTAATCTAATACGGAGTACCTCTATTTGAGTATTTAATACCCTTAAGTATTATGTAGTCACTGATTCCATACGTGAAATGGTGTGCGCATTTTTTTGATAATTCATAACATATACCAATGCAGCTCTACATTATTTTAACCATGAGTCCATAATGAATCATACTTTGTTAGTGTGTTATTACTGGGTGCATCTATTACTTTTTGATTTTATTTTATTTTTAAAGGAGAATATTTATATATACAGGCTGAAGCATTGAAGAAAGCACTTTGGGAGAAGGAAGTTCCAGCAAATGTGTATGTTGGTATGCGTTACTGGCACCCATTCACTGAGGAAGCAATTGAGCAGGTTTTGTATTGCAAATCTAAAGTTTCAGTGCTTTTTTCTCATCCACCATCATCATCATAACCTTAATCCAAAAACGAGTTGGCGTTGGTGGCATTAAATTTGTAGAGCCAATTAATTGTATAGAATTAATAACTTAATAAATATTGTCACTTCATGCAAAAAGCAGTGGCAATGTTTTACACCAGACTAGGGATGGAGCCGGGCTGGTCCGGTTCCGGTTCCGGTTCCGGGTCGGGCCGGGTCGGGCTTTTTTTGCAAAATGTTGGGCCCGGAACCGGCCCGGGTTGATACCGGGTCCGGGCCTAACCGGGCCGGGCCCGGGTCAATGTCTATTTTTTTTTTGCTTTCTTGTTATCCCCCGACCCCCCCCCCCCCTCACCCCCACCCCCAAACCTCCCTAAAACACCCAGCCCTACCCTAAGAAAAGAAAAAAATTGAAAACAAAAAAAAAATGACCCGGGCCCGGCCCGCCCGACCCGCCCAAACGGGCTAAAAGCCCGGAACCGGCCAACCGGTCCCGGTCCGGTCCGGGCCCAAACAGTAGCGGTTCCGGGCCGGCCCGGCCCGGCCCAGTCCATCCCTACACCAGACGCCCTTCCTGTTGCAAGAAGGAATACTGAGATGGAAATTGTAATACCATCACCATCATACATTTTTTGAATGCATGCAAAATAATGAAATATCATTAGATGCTGATGAGTGAAAATATTTGCCGTTGTCATGTTCCATTACAAGAAAGTCAATTTTCAACTTGCAACAAAAATCAGTCCTACTCACACCAACTTTAGATGAAACACGCAGATCTATGATAACAACAACAATAACATCCAAGCCTTGGTCCCAAAAGTGTTTGGGGTCGGCTAACTTCTAAGGTCAAAGGTCCTGGAGAACTTTTTTTTTGTTTTAAATTTGTTTTGTATTGAAGAGATGCCACTTTGTTAGTGATACGTGAATATTTTATTTTCTCTTTCTGCTCTTTTTGAGGTATACCTCGACTCCAGAATTGATGATGCCGATACAAATGACTCTAGATAAATGTTTTATTTTCTCTTTCTGCTCTTTCTATAATTTTTTTCTTTTAATTTCTGAAGATAAAAAGAGATGGAATCACAAAACTCGTTGTGCTACCTCTTTACCCCCAGTTCTCAATATCAACCAGTGGTTCAAGCCTTCGACTATTAGAAAGTATATTTCGGTATGGATGCAAGTCTTGTTTTGTTGTGCTCTGCACCGCATAGGTATTTGTGCAGAAACTAATGGAAATAGCCATGAGTATTTTGCTACAGGGAGGATGACTATCTGGTCAACATGCAACACACAGTAATTCCTTCCTGGTATCAACGTAAAGGATACATTAAAGCCATGACAGATTTAATTCAAAAGGAATTGGGGAAATTTGAATGCCCTCAGGAGGTATTGTAGCATATATTTTTCGTTCTTTAGTAAGGATCTCAAGTATTCAATACATGTAACCTGATACAGACAAGCTGATGTTCAAAATTTCAAATCCTCCTTGCACGTGATAGCTCACATTTTCACAGGGTATATTTGGGAATTAGGTTTTGGATGGGTTGGACTTTGGAGATAAATGGTGTGCCGGGGTTATTTTTTGTTTTAATAAAATAGTGATGTGATATGACCCCCCCCCCCCCCCCCCACCACAACAATAGATTTGAAATGATAAATTTGTATAATTTCAATGTTCTAGTCATTTATTTAATACCATATGTATTTAAACATAAAAACCCATATATATTTCTCATAATTTAAACATAAAAACCCCTCCCCACCGTTTTTCTCCAATCCCCTCCAAAAACTCAACCCCAAACTACCTTTAAGAGCATGAGTGCATGACATTTGAAAGAACCCCTTCAACAAGAGACATTTTCCTTTTCCTTTATACATTCACTCTTATTTTATGTTGATCGATGTGGTCATGTGGATTATATAAGGCTTACATGCTTATATCCTACCATTATTTAGAATTGCTGTTGTTTGTAGGTGATGATCTTTTTCAGTGCTCATGGTGTACCACTTGCCTATGTTGAGGAGGCAGGGGATCCATACAAGGCTGAGATGGAGGAGTGTGTGGACTTAATAATGGAAGAACTGGAAAAGAGAAAAATAAATAATGCATACACTCTTGCATATCAGGTAAAGAGTTACCTTCTCACTTGCAGGCTATTACATTTTAGTGACTATACATGTCAGGCAGTGATTTTAATTTGTGATATGTCATTGGCAGTGGCACTGTCCCACAATTCACAGTGACTACCGGTGGAAAATCCCGGTTACTTTAGGGTTTTGGAGTTATTTAGTCACTATTTTGGAAGAATAATATCTTTACCATTTTGTCATACAAATATATAGTACAATATACCATAATTTGTATTTTGAAATTTTGAATCTTCCTCTTTATTTTTTGATTTAGTGTTGTACTTGCAAAATCATTTATTATAATTAATTAATTTGCTGCAGAGTAGGGTTGGACCTGTTGAGTGGCTTAAACCGTATACAGATGACACAATAATTGAGCTTGGCCAAAGAGGGGTGAAAAGTCTTCTTGCTGTCCCTATAAGGTGTATAGCCTGTTACCAACTTATAAGCACTGGTTTTCAGAGTATGCTGATACTTATACATTTAGATCTGTGCATATTGTCAGTTTTGTCAGTGAACACATCGAGACATTAGAGGAAATTGACGTTGAGTACAAGCAGTTAGCTCTGGAGTCTGGTATACAGAATTGGGGCCGTGTTCCCGCACTTGGTTGTGAACCCAGTTTTATTTCGGATTTGGCAGATGCTGTTGTTGAAAGCATTCCATACGTGGGAGCAGTCGCGGTCTCAAATCTCGAAGCTCGGCAGGTTAATGTGCAATCTTGAACATTCAAAATAAGTGTTTTTGGAAGAAACTAGCAGATTAAATAAACAGAGAAAACCTTGACCATTAAATATAATGACACATATTTTGAAACAAAAGTATCCCTTCAAAATGATACTTAGGGTCCATAGGAACTCAGAAGAAACAAAAGGAAGTGAAGTACTACGTACATTGAAATTTGGAAGGGAAGAAAATGTTATTGAAATAAAGAAAAGGTTTAAACTCGACAAATCAATTTTAGATATGTTTTCAAAGTTGAAACTCTTTTTATTTAATTATTGCTATGTATAAAGACTAAAGAAGTGTGTGTATATGTATGGTTTTTCATAAAAAAGGAAAAACTTGATTCTGTTCTGTATTAACTAAGTCAACGCCAATTCACCAAACCCTAAAATGATCAATTTTCCATGCATTCCCCCATACCATTCCAAACAGTCTTAAAGTGAAGGGAGTAATAATTACACAAATGTTTGAGGTGCAATTGGTAAACTAATTAATTTTCTGGGTATATGAATGATGTCTGCAGTCCTTAGTCCCTCTTGGCAGTGTCGAAGAGCTATTGGCGGCATATGATTCACAACGTAGGGAACTGCCACCACCTGTAGAAGTCTGGCAGTGGGGTTGGACTAAAAGTGCAGAGACATGGAATGGGAGGTTAGCTATGTTGGCGGTGCTTCTTTTGCTCCTCCGAGACATCACCTCTGGAGAGGGCTTCCTCCACCAATGGGGTATACTGCCTCTTTGAATGCGGAATCGTATAGAATCTCCTACACATGCAAGAACCATTCCTTTCTTCATACTATGGAGTTGTATTTTGAGGTTTAGAATGACCGCTTCAAGATTTTTGACCAAATATATGGAAAGATGTAGGATGACCCATCATGCGTTGTGACCACGAGAAGAGCAACAAAGGGGAATGAAGCAGCCTCCTCTCTATCCATACAGGTTTTTAGTCTCCACTTTTAAAATGGTTAGAAACAACCGATGAAAGCATGCATTTTTTTAAGAGTTGATCCTCTTTTGCTTGCTTTGAAGTATGCTTTGTGTGAAAAATACTACTCCATAGTGTATGTGTATTAATAAAGTGCATGTTTTGTACAATCAAGTCAGTGTATGTTCTAGTGCGGTAAATTATGGTAATAAACAGCGTAAGAGATGTTATTTGTGTGCATTGCCATATTACTCTGACATATTGCACAATATAAGTGCCACTTTAGAAGGATATTTTTTAGTTCATCGCAAGTATCACTTTAACATATCCCCCAACTTTCGCCCTTCTTTATAAAACCAACACATCACATGAAATGAATCAATGACAGTGGGGATACATGCAGAGGTAACATTGTCTGAAGAGTAATCAATTGGCTTGGGGGATGCGAAATTCCCCACTTGCATGAACCTGCTTTACATGCTTCTCATACTCATCTTCCTCGTCAACTAGTACTTCGTCTTTGCTGTTTACATCTTCATCCCCCCAGGGGAAGCCTGAGACGGTCCGAGACATGGTAGGTGGACTCCTTGCGTCCTCCACGATTTTCATGATGTCATCGATGCTTTGCAGACCGGAAAAGGTTGTGCTGTTCCTTTGGTAATAGATTGCTTGAGCTGATTCAGTGAGCTCTCTGGGTAAGTTCTTCAAGAACCATGGGTGGTTCTTTATCTCATTTATTGTGATTCTCTGCGTGAAATTGATCGAACTAAATTGAAGTGACATCATTATAAAAACAAATTGGAAGGAGCCAATTCAAATGGCAATACTTAGTCCCTTCAGGATGGATTAATTAGTTAATTATGACGCAATACACACACAAGTTGGATAGTTGGGTTACCCGGGAAGGACTGGTGACAAATATGCGAGAAAGAAGATGCCTGCAATCTTTGGATATATGAATGTAGTCTGGAATATTGTACTGCAAGTTTATTATTTTCTGCACGCCCAAAATAAATGCAGACAAATCAGAACAAATTTTTTCCTGATATGCAGTTTTATGTTATCTTGCTGGAAACAAATATGTAATTGTTATTAAGTAATACGAGTAATCATTAAAGATTTGGGCGGAATAAAAGAAGAATTGGTTTATTAATTTGCACGACTTACTGTGATGGTTTTTCTAAAATTTTTGGGATCATTAGTGTCTTCGAAGGGGTATGCTCCAACTAGCATCACGTACAGAGTTACTCCGCATGACCATACATCTGCCAACTGTACACATTTAATTGAATTAAAGAGAACTTTGACTACAATTATATTTATTTATGTGTTAGTAAACATTATACTCCGTACAAAATTTAATATTTAGGTAATTCAAATTAATAGAAATTTAATAATATACTCCGTATTATACATAATAATTTGATTATATATATTAGTAGAAGATCATGGTCAAAGTAAGAGGTATGAATAGTGTAAAAAACTCAATGTTGCTACTATTAAAGAACAGAAGTATATTCTTAATCTTGCGATCATTTGAAAACAGGGGTCCGAAAAGACCCGTATATTTTAGTTCTATTCGGTACAATTTTCTCTATCTTTTATTATTAAATGAGAGGGTTTTCAAGAATATTATTCGAATGGAACTTATTTATAAACAAAGTGACTAAAGTTACTGCAAGTATAGTGTCATGATCATTTATATATAAAAATTATTATACCTAAAGCTATTACTATAATTACTACATTTAAGAGATCACATTTTTATAAATAACTTTACTTTAGTCAAATATGTAATTATTTGTTGTTATTTTGTGTAATGAAAAAGAGAAATTTGCAATATAAAAAATGATAAGCTTAATATATACGGAGTATAATCTATAGTACGTCACGTATAAAAAGAAGAAAAGAAAGTGTATTGAATGCAAACCTTGCCGTCGTATTCTTTGCGAGAAAGAACCTCGGGTGCTATATAAGCGGGTGTTCCGACCGTAGACTTTGGTATTGAATGCAACACCGACGACTAAATTAAACAACAAACCATCAATAATAATGTTGAAATATTGATCCATGCATAGCGGAGACAATGGCTCAAAAAAGTTGATAAGCTCATAATGGCTGATAAATGATTTACAGTCCATAAGTTTATTGATATTTTAGTGATACCATTGAAATAAAACTATTATTAAATGAAAAAACTTATGCAACTTATTTGAAAAGCTATTCAAAGAATGAAGTTTATTATACTACGTATAAGCAAGCATATGAAAGAAATAAGTCCACCATTATCCTAACATGCATGATATATTATTATTTATTAAACAAGCATTACTTAAAAACGTTAATAATATAAAATTTATTAGTATTTGAATAAATTTCCTCTTCTCACGTACTTTCCTTTTTGAAATGTTTTAAAATTAAATTTTCACTTATTATTAGTATTTGAATAGTAGATTACATATATTATATTTGATTTGATATATATTATAATTTGACAAAATTAATTCATCAAAACTGTGACAAGTATTTAATTTGATATATATTATAATTCACTTGTCGTAAATATATACTAGTATTTGGATAGAATATAATTGAGCAATGAGCGGAAGCGATGTTGTACCTTTGAGTATCCGAAGTCACAAATCTTAAGCCGGGGTGCTCGACTTCCATCTAGTAGTGTGTTTTCCAGCTTCAAATCTCTATGGCATATTTGCTGCACTCGCAAATAAGTTCACATTATTTTTTGAAAGACAAAGTTTAATATTTTAAACATAAAGATTTTGGAGTTAATTTACTTTTCATGCATGATTCCCTATTTAATTAATATATAATAATTCGTACGTACCTCTCTCTCTCACAAGGAGTGAAAATTTAACCAGTTAAATTATACGTAGTAATTCCTCCGTTCTTAAATAAGTGCAACGTGTATAAATAAGAGGTACTTATTTAAGAACGGAGGTAGTACGGGACTAACCATTGAATGACAGAAGTTAACACCAGATATCAATTGCTGAAAGAAGTACCTAGCCTGCACATCATATCCATGCACACAAACTATATAATCCTCTTTAATTAAACAATCATGATATATATATATATATATATATATATATATATATATATATATATATATATATATATATATATATATATATATATATATATATATATATATATATGTATTGATTTATACTATGTGTCTCACAATTAGATAGTTTCGGTTTTGATTTCACTGCACAGATAGATTTTGTTAGCTTTGATTGTCAATTATTCAAAGATTTAATACGTATTATTTTATAACATGATAAAACTTAGTACCAAATTGTTTTAAATAAGCTATAACATCTTAATTTTAAATCGAAGAAACACTAAGGCCCTGTTTGGTTGGAGGGTTTTAGAGGGGAGGGGAGGAAAATGAGGGATTTGTGTGTGTTTGGTTGAAGGAAATTGGGGGGAAGGGGAGGAAAGTGGAAGACTTTCAAAATCCTCCACTTCCTCCCATTCTAACCCCCCAAATCAGGGTATTTCGGAGGAAACGTGTTGATAACAACAAACTATCTATCTCTTACGTGAATGAACAAAATGTTATAATATAAAAAGGTAAAAAATAAAAAGTTTTGAAAAATCTAAAAATTTAAAAATTTAAAAATTAAAAAATTTAAAAATTAAAAAATTAAATATTTTAAAAATTAAAAAATTATAAATTAAAATTTTAAAAATTAAAAATAAAAAAATTTAAAAATAAAAATAAAAAATCAAATATTCCAAACTGAAAAATGAAAAATTATAAAATTAAAAAAGTAAAAAATCAAATAAAATAAAATTCTGACTCATGACCATAGGAGTAATATTCACAATAGTTAGACATGTATCTATTTTTTAAGTAAGCTATAAAATAAAAGTAAATTGCGAAAATATTTTCATTAAATCTTTCCTCATATTTCCTCCAACCAAACACAAATTTTTATCAAAATCCTTCCTTCCCCTTCCCTCCTCTCCCCTCCTTTGAACCAAACAAAGCCTAAGTTATTTTTGGAGTAGATCGAAGAAAGAATGAAAAGATGGGGGGTGGTGGGGGTGGGGGGGTGGGTAGGGGCATGCCTCATCCTCACTGAAACGGCCAGCTTGGCAGATGCGATCAAACAGTTCTCCACCAGCTGCATACTCCATCACTATGGCCAAATGTGTTGGTGTTAATACTACCTGCATTATCCATTTTGCACTATATATTCAGATACTACACAAATTTTATTTATCTATGAAAAGCATTTCATGAAAATATTATATGCATCTAAGTAGACTTCCAATACATGAATTTTTATAATGTTGACTTTAATTTACTAATAGCTAGTTAGATATATCAACAATCAAAATTGTGCATCGCTAAACGTAATAATCAAACGATTACACTTAAATAAGAACTATGCAGGCATCAATTAAGGGTACTTCTACGGTGCCTCTCAAAATTAAGTAGGTACCATACGTGTAGTTCAAAAGTACGCATGTCATTTTATTAATAGGCCGTATATGTTTTAGCATACATGCACTTTGTTGCTGCCTTATTTGTCCAACCAAGGAAATGTACCGGTATCCCCAGAATTACTACATGCATCATAGAATTTCCCATCAATTAATCCATGAAACAAAATGTAGAGAAATTATTGAGTACGGCCGAATTAAGTAGTTAGTATTAACACCGATTTAGTATAAAAATATGGGAGTACAAATCAACATACTACATATAAAATATAAAATATCGGGTACTCCTCTTATCAAATCAACTTTATTTGGTACAAGAGCAAATTAAACTTCAATGAGCAATTATATATATCATGTTAATTAAGCCTCAATAACAAACATATACAGTTCTTGAGCATGTTAGTTTGTCTGCTGCTTCAATAACATATATGCATGGTAATTAAGCCTCAATTACAATATGGGTCTCCTTCAACAAGCCACATCTTTGGAGCCTATTAATTTGTCATGCACCGGCCGTTCCGCATAATATAAATACCAACCAACAATATATATATATATATATATATATATATATATATATATATATATATATATATATATATATATATATATATATATATATATATATATATAGGGGATGGTTCAAATACAAAGTGATCTTAACGTGCAAAGTGCAAAGTTTCCACTTTTTCATGTTTCGCTTGCACTTTTGCTTGCTTTCGTTGCACTTTTTCGCGGTAGCTCAAAAAAATTGATTTATTTACAAAACTGCCACCATCATTTTGGCCGAATTTGGCCAAAATTAAAATGACCAAAAAGTGCAACGCAAATAAGAAAAAGTGCAAGCAAAACTCCCCTATATATATATATACATATATATATACATATATATATATATATGTGTATATATATATACACACACATATATACATTTTTATGATGAAATTTCATGAAGTATTAATAGCCTAGCTTAGACGCAATGATGATGATACACCCAATTAACCCACCTCTTTGAAGCGTATAATATTGGGATGGCGCAGCGATCTATGGTTGATGATTTCCCTGGCCACATTTTCATCAATCTTCGATATGACGATAATCACCGGATGGGCAAGAACATGCAAGCAAGGAAGCCAATTATTAATTAATTAATTACAATTGAACAAACGCGATATATATATCTACAAAAAAATTGGATGCAATTAATGGAGTATAATATAGAAGAGATGTAATATTGAATTGATGATTATATTGCATATATATGGCATAGAACGTAATATATAATTAGCAAGAAATTAAATTATAACCTTAGGGCCGCGTTCAATGTATTTGATGGCGACAAGGTCCTTGGTGTGCTTGTGACGGAGGAGCTTAGCCACCCCAAAGTTCCCACTCCCCAATTCTTTCACCAACTCGTACTTCTCCATCCTTTCCTCCGATCGATGATCCATTCCATCCGGCCTATCTCTTATATATATATATATGTGTGCTCCCCCAATTTTCTTTCAATTCTCGATCAAGAATATATAGATACGGAGTATTAAAAAACTAATAATTATATCTATCCATCTGTATATTGCTAAATCCGATCAATAATTAAACATGTGATTGGGACTACTTGGAATTGGGAGAACTTAATTAACTTCCACAATGCGAAAGAATAATAACCCAATCTTTTTAATTTCTTTTTACAAAGCATAAAGATGTTTTTATTTGGACTTTAATTCCTTCCAGATCAGACCAGATCAGACCAATTCAGACCAGATTAGACTTGGATAGTTAAAAAAACAAAAAAAAAACAGACCAGACCAAACCGGTTCAAACCAAACCACCAAATTACAGTCCAAGTAAAAACATTCTAAGTACGCACCTCATCCTACATTTTTAAGATAAAAATTAAATAGTGCTCTTTAGGTATCCTGATGTTTTCTTTTCAACTAAAATTTGCTAATCTGCAGGTAAACATCTGGTTTTTGTGTATTTTAAACTAAGAAGTTCAGGTCTGGTCTGAACTATTTAAATATGGTCTGATCTATTTAAGTATGATCTGTTCTGGGACCGAAAACTGTTCAAATAAAAACATCCTCTAATTTGACCATCACAAAGTTTATTATAGCGTCCTTTTTTATTGAAGCTAAATATATATTACACAGTTACACACTTACACTACATTGTAAAACAAATTTAACATATTTACCGATCACAAAATACAATATTTTTAAATGTGCACAACATTATTCTCACATTTGACACTACTTTTTTACAATATAAATTACTACGTATTAATTCTTGAGGGTAATAGAGCAAATTGGTAAAACTTTTTATTAATTTTGATAGCAAACTCGGGTGGACGGGAATCTAGTAGTAGATCGGCAGCGGCGACTGCCCAAAAATCTCCGGCGGCCGACAGCAATCTTGCGATTTGAGGGCAGCACTGCTCCAACCAATGAAAGCATTTTTGTCCAAATATAAATAACAAATTATATTTATGGAGTTTCAAACAATCAAACATTAGATCATGTTTTGGGAAAAAGATATTATTTGGTCACATTTGGGTAAACCTCCCTTTGTTTTTTGTGTCACCTCACACTACAACAAAGTATATCTTCTGTACCATATGCGAAATGTTGCAATTCATATGTGTCAAAAATGTCACAATATATCAAAAGTAGCATGCTGCATCCGACTGATGTTACAATAGATGTATTGTAACAATTTATCATTTTATTGTAGCATTTTTTGGTACAATAATGTAACAATTTCTATGATGCTAAACCGTTCTGTTTTGAATAACCTATGAAATAAAGGGTTTTCAAAAATAAATTATCTTTATACTTAATTTTCGAATATACACTTAACAAATTTTTATACAATATTCATTTTAAACATTATATTTAATTATCTATATATAAATTAACTGACCCAGGGTCGCAACTTTTAATTTACGGACTATATACTAACTTTTACAATTCTTCAAGACTTAAGTTTAGTCATCAATTCATAAAGAAGGGGTGGAGCAAGTTTAATGCATATATGGACACCCTCACCCCAATGAGTGGCGAGACTAGCTATAAGATTCAATGGATTTCAAAACCAAGTTTAGAAATAATTAAATGAAATCAATACACAGCCCTTTTCAGGCTAGATCATGACATTTCATGGGCTTTAGACAAATTTAAAAAAAAGTTTTAAAAATATTATATTTGTATATTAATTTCAATTAGGTGCATGTATTATCCTCATCAAATTTGTGTATATTTTGACACAGTGTTTTCCAATAATTTATTTAACTGATTTCACGATTGAATTTTAAGCTAACATATTACCGATATAATCTAAACTTGATGAAAAACATGTTCACAACATTTCATAAAAAACTCTACTTGGAAGTAGATTAATCATATAGGATTATTCATTTATTTGATTAGATTATTAATTGATTTCATTCATTGGTGATCGTTTGATTTGGTAATTGTTGATTGTTTTATCCATTGAATGTTTGTGTTACAATTCATAAACCCTACCTGGAATTTTCATCGATAAAATACGATAAAAAAGTAGGACCGTTAGAAAAGGCGTGAACTTCAATTCATTCATAATTTGAATTTATATGAGACGAATATTGTCAAACTGCTAATGAAAAATAGTAGTATGAGATAAAAAAGGACAAATTATTGCATTATTTATCATGGTGGATGGCACTATGGCAGTTAGCAGTATTGATGTGAATTGTGAAAGCAAAAATAATAACGCATGGTTATGCAAATTAATTTATTGGGGTAACAAATTAATACTTTCCCTCCCAATTTGATAGTACCAAAACTTTTGGGCAGAAAGACTAAGAAAGTGAGATAAAAGTGCATATATACCCTTTAGCAACTAGCTTTAACAAATTTTTACAATGGCTAACTTTGAGAAATCAAATTGACATGTTTAACGATTTCATAACTATTCACAATTGTACTTCAACATCACATCCTTACGGCTGGAGAAATAGCCTTGTAGCTTCCCTCCTAAATATGGTTTGTTCGACCAAAAAAGGGAGGGAACTCAAAAATTAAACCTCTAAAATTACACCTTCAAAATTACAACCTCAGCCTTATAAATACAACACCATTCAGCACATTTAAGATTACTTCATCTAATCCGCACGAGTAGCTCAGTTGGTCGAGCGGTGGAAAAAATTGGACGTAGACCAAGGTTCGAATCCCGCAGCGGCCAAAAGGGGTTTTTCATAACCTGAAATAAGGCTAGCCCTCTTGTGGGCGCGGGTAAAGGCCTACTGCTGCTTTACTGATTGAGTCACCGTGATTAACCTCCCCACCATCCTGTCGGGTCGGGATGGGGAGCCTTGGGGTTGGGCATTCAACCTTTTGGACGAAGATGACTTCATCTACTTTCAGCTACCACCATTAATGGCTGCCTCAAGCTCTAACTTGGCCCCATCACCTCCTCGACCTCCTCCACCTACACCTGCAACTGCCCTTGTCCATTTCCCTGCACAGAGATCAAGACTAACAGATTAAACCAGGAAAGAGAAGAAATAAAAGAATATTTGGTGAAGAATGTGGATGGCTTTGAGTGACTTCAACGTGGTGTAAGCAACAACGGTGCAGATATTTTTAAGGTGTTCAGACATGCAATGTCCAGAATATGGCAGATTGTAAAGCAACAGTTACAGAATGGACAAAGCCTAGATGTAACTCACAAGCTCACTGGACATGTTGGAAGATAAAGGGTGACTGTACCCCCTCAAAGTTTTAAGGACATTCCTTTGAGCAAAAGGATTAACTTTAGGTCAACCTCGCATGCCCTAAAAATGTCTAAAAGTACATTTCACAGAATTCCATATGTCAATTCTGCCTTTATCACTTAATTCCAGCTTCCTTACCACACACTCCCACATTTCAAGGGTTTGACCATTTTATTCACATCGATGAGAAGTGGTTTAACTTAAGCAAAATGATGACAAGATGGTACATTCATGAGGGAGAGACTCCCCCAGACAGGCATTACAAATCTAAAAGGTTTATAACCAAGGTGATGTTTCTGTGTGCTGTGGGCAAACCTATTTTCGGTAGTGAGGGGGAAGTTGTATGGAATGGGAAAATAGGGATATGGCCGTTTGTGGAGCGAATGGAAGCATCAAGAAACAGTAGGAACAGACCGAGAGGCACAATGTAAACAAAGTCAATTCTTTCAGTGACAAAAATAGTGTACAGGGAAATGCTACTGACACAGCTCATTCCAACCATAAAAGCAAAGTGGCCAGTAGCATCAGCCAGGGAAGTTATCATCCAACACGATAATGTCAGACCACACATTAGCACAAATGATCAGGAATTCAATCATGCAGCAAGTGAGGATGGGTGGAATATAAGGTTGTCAATGCAATCAGCATATCCAGCCCACATGCATCAACACCTACTGCCTTGACCGAGACCAGCACTTCCCACTTATCGGAACTCCCTTATCCCAACTCTCCCTATGCCTCTGAAAAACATCACAATGTCATTGTAATAATCACAATGTCATGATAATGTCAATGCTATAATTTTGACATAGCGAAAATAACAATGTCATATCAATGTCAATAACTACAACAGATTCGTTTTCCGGTATTTCAGCTTATTGCCGTCCTGCGCCGTTGACGACATCACTTCAGACGAAGAGGAGAAAAACAACGACGCTGGAGAGGTGAAAAATACAGAAAGCAAAGATGAGGAAGGTAACGACTCTTTGAGTGTCTTATTCTCTAAGAGTCATGATTTGGTCTTGCAACAAAACCAAAATCCAGCAGTAAACTCTAGAAACGAGGAGGATCGAAATTCAGAGTTTAGTCCGTCATGTGCTCCGCCGCCGAACGCCCTCTTGCTCATGGGTTGCCGTTCCGCTCCGGAGAAGAACTACCTGGATGAGAGATGAGAGAAAGAACACAAGGAGTGGTCCTGGCATTATCATGTCTAATCGGATTCAAAGTAATAAAATCAGGGGCAAAAGAGGTAGAAGAGTTAAAAATGGTCCTATTTAGGAGTAAAAAAGTTGATGGTCCTATACGGGTCCATAAGTAGTTTTTTAGTCCTATTGAAGACCATTTCTCTTTAATTTTTTATTAATCACGGTTCTATGACATATTGGAACTGCAATGTATTTTACCCTTTTTAGTTAAAATTTGTTAGGTATTGAATTGTAATTTTGTGATAGTGTTAAAAAATTTGTTTCGTAAAGATTTAGATTTTTATTAAATTTGGATGGGAGAAAGAGAAAAAGAAATGTTAGAGAAAGCAATCCTATGTAAAAACAGTTTAATAGAAAAAAGTTTTCCAAAATGGCTTACAATAAACAATGTCTTAAGGAGGAAGAAATGTTAGAAATGTGTTAGAAAAATTTGACTACTACGTACGAAGAAATTGAAAAGTAAAGCTGCACTACGTACGAAGATAGACTATGGCAGGACAAAGCAACTCGATAAATGAAACAATAGGGGATGAGGATTAGAAGGAGGAAGAAGAGATAGAAATAGAAGTTTCGGCTAAAATCGAAAGAGGACTGTGAACGGTAAATTGAAGCGAAAGAGGATGGCTCCGTCGTCGACCACTTGGTCAGTCATTTTCTCGCGCCGGCTACTACTCCGGAGACAACCTGCAGCAGCAGATCAGAATTGAACGGACCGATGGGTTGTTACCGGACAGATGAATGGCTGCGAGCATTTGATGGGTGCCAAAGTGTGAACAGTAAAATAGGCGATGAACTAGGAGGACTGCGGGTGTTTTTTAAACAAGGGGCAAATTTGTCCTTCCGTTCAATTTTTAGTCCAGTTTCAAAATAGTTTCAAAATTCCAAAATAGGACTGTTATATTTTTTGTTCTTAAAATATGAATAATTACTGTCATGTTTAGAAAAATATTGCCATATTTGAAGTTTGGTACTGCCAAAACATGACACTAATTAGTCTTATTTTGGGAATAAAAATATGACAGTCCTATTTTGGAATTTTCAAATTGTTTTGGTCCTATTTCGGATAATATCTCAAAACTTCGCTGATACATGACTTATGTTTTGATCTTATTTAAAATACTTAAGTACATATCTTACAATACATTCACAATTTTTATACTACTTATTTGATAATTCACACATTGTAATAAAAAAATTAAAAATACATGAGTACATTACCGTATTCACGGTTTAATGATTTCAGAATCACAATGCAACAAGATAGTAATTAAAAATCCACAACTAATTAAACAGCCTATTTACTACTACGTTAAGTTCAAAGAAATCGGGCTATTAATACGGTAGCAGGAAAAGTCTCGTCCTTTACTACGTCCAAAAGGTTGAATCCCCAGCCCCAAGGGCCCCCCACCCCGACCTGACAGGATGGTGGGGGAGTAAATCACGGAGACTCAGTCGGCAAAGCGGCAATAGACCTTTACCCGTGCGCACCAGAAGACCAGTCTTATTTCAGGTTCTGAAAATCCCCTTTTGGCCGCCGCGGGATTCGAACCTTGGTCTAAGTCTATTTTTTCCCACCGTTCGACCAACTGAGCTACCCGTGCGGGTAGTCTCATCCTTTACTAATTTTACTAGTATGATCCTAATTCTTCGACAGCCGGATGGGATTGTTATATTTGGGCCGAAAAAATCAGCTTAATTAAAGCAAAAAACCAGCCTATTCACCCTTAATTGAGCCTAATTGTTTCTCTTTTTTTATGAGCCCTGTTGCCCCCTAGCTAGGACCGGCTCTGAGACTTGACTAGATCAAATTTTGAAAGTTATGAAACACACATAGAAGAGACATCTATAAGGTCATTCCGACCAATCCAGACTAGATCTCACTGAATTAGAAAATTTCAATTCAATTAAAAACATCAAAGTAACCATGAGGAGTTGCAAGAATAAAAGACGTCATACGGTTTTGGAACCAGATCGATGGCCTGGATTTCCAATTTTAGACAGGAGTCGACTAGATCCACATTAAAAAAAAAGGATAAAATTTCAAAAATGAAATTGGTTTTCGCGGTTAAGATTGAAGTTCTTCCCTACTACCTGAAATTAGAACCGGTCCTGGGTCTACCTGTAGAAGGCGTTCATCATTGTGAATTTGTGACAAGAAAAACACCAAAGCAAAATTGATAGTTTTTCCCAATTGAATCTTGGGACTTTGTGATGACTCTATGGTACCCAACAGATTTAAGTAATAGAAATTGCCCTAAATAGGAGTAAAAACGTTTTGAAATTTCAAAATAGGAGTCATGTTTTTTATTCCTTGAATAGGATTAATCTGCCAAGTTTGGAAAAAATGTCATGTTTAAAAGCCTAGTAATGTCAAACTTGGCAGAAATTTACTCCTATTTAGGGGATAAAAAACATGATACTCCTATTTTAGAATTTCAAAACTTTTTGAAATTCCAAAATAGGAGTATCATTTTTTTATTCCCTCAATAGGAGTAATCTGCCAAGTTTGGAAAAAATGTCATGTTTAAAAGCCTAGTAATGTCAAACTTGGCAGAAATTTACTCCTGTTTAGGGAATAAAAAACATATACTCCTATTTTGAAATTTCAAAACTTTTTTACTCCTATTTAGAGAATTTTACTCTTTAAGTAAGTCTAAATGATTCTAAGGGAGTCATATAGACTTTATAAAAAAAGAGAAGAGGGGCAAATAAGCCCATGTGATTTGGAAAGATTCCTGGTAAAAAAATCTGATGCATTTTTTTTGAACATATTATTCATTGGCCTTTTTATTCCAATATTACTAAAAAGTAGGGATGGATTCGGGCCGGGTCGGGTCCGGGTCGGGCCTAGGCCCGGTCGGGCCGCCGGTTCAAGAAAAGTCGGCCCGGGACCGACCCGAGGGTTGGACGGGTCACGGGTCGGGTCCGATTCGGGCCGGGCCGGTTAATTTTTTTTTTTTTATAATTTATATTTTATAGTTTATAGTTTTATACGAGTATTAAAAACAAACTTCAATTGCATTTATTTGAAATGAAATAGGAACTACATTTGAAAATTAAAACAAACTTTAAGAGATAAACATTTTGAAAATTGTAATCAATCGGAACTTCCCGCACCTCCCAATCCTTTGGCTTTGTCACATGACTTCATATGCTTGATTGCCATCCCGAATCCGCCTGAAGCCCCCATGATACATTTTTTTTCGCACCATTTGCAAATTGCGTACCACATCCCGGTCTTCGGGTCCTTCTGCTTATCAAAATTATACCGTATAATGGCATCTTGATTTTCCATCTTAACTTCTTGGAGAAGAGAATTAGAGAGTAGATATATAATATATTGGAGAATAAGAGAATTAGAGAGTAGAGAGTTAAGAATAGGATTTAGGAAGAATTGGAGAAGAGATATGAAAAAATGTTTAAGATTAGGAGTATTTATAGGGTTTTTTACCCCCCCCCCCCCCCCCCCCCGCACCCCCCTCCTACCAGCCAACCCCCCCGGACCCCCCCTTTACCCCACCCAACGGCTATATAGCCGTTTGGGTTGTCCCCAGCCCCACCCCCAACAGATAGTAGCCCAACCAACCAATTTTTTTTTAAAAAAAAAAAGAGGCCCGGACCCGGGCCCGGGCCCGACCCGGCCGGGCCGGGTCACAATAATCCTGAACCGAGCCCGCCCCGTCCCTTCCCATCGGTTCGGGTCCATACCCGGTCCCGGACCGCCCGACCGGGCCGGTCCCGGGCCCGCACAGTGCCGAGCCGGGCCGAGTCACGGGCCGGGTGGCCCGAACCGAATCCAACCCTACTAAAAAGAATGAAAAAGACAAAAAGGTGACCTCTTTTAAATTTTTCCAAAAAAGTGACCAAAAGTCATTTAATCCTATTATTTAATAATACATTTATTATTTTAATAACATTTCTTTGCAGCCACCAGCACCGCTGACCCTGCCTCCGCCTCTGCCGACACCGCCTCCGTCGCCGCCGTTGCTCCGGTCACAGTGACTCCGGCCAAAGTGACTCCGACGTCACAGTGAGTCAGTGACTGCCCCACAAACCAGTGACTGTCCAACCAATCAGAGTGACTACGCCAAAGTGACTCCAGCATCACAGTGACTGCCCCACGGGCAAAAGTCACTGTCCAACCGACCATAGTGACTGCCGGCTGACCACCGCCCCACCCCCAGTCACCACCCCAACCCGACCGCAAGCTCCCCCACCCCAGATCTAGCCCAAACCAGACACAAACAACCAGATCCCCAACCCCCTCCGATCCCCCTACCACCTACCTAGTCCCAAGCTTGACCGCCAACTCCCCCACCCTAGATCTAGCCCAAACCGGACCCAAACACTACAGATCTGCGGATTCCGGACAAAATAAAGAAGACATCGGAGGTGAGCGATCAGCGATGGATGTCCACCTTGCTCCGAGCTTCTCGTCGCTGGTCGGAGCTCATCTGCGCCGGTGGTCCGCTGTGAGAGCATCACAAACCTCACCGATGAAGGAGGACAGCGAGGAAACGTCGCGCGAAAGAGGACGGCGAGGACAGTGATGGAGATTAAAGACGCAGGCTAGGCTAGGATTAGAAAACAAAGTTCCAAGTCAGGAAAAAGATCTCAGTCTCGAGATTCAATTTCTCAGAGCATTTTAAAAAGGAGCGAGTATATTTAAAAGCTGAAAAAGTGTAGGGACCAGGAATGGAGGCTTAAAAATATACTTCCTCCGGTCCCTATTAAAGTTCTCACTTTCCTTTTTGAGATGTCCCTTATTTAAGTTCACACTTCCATTGTAGGAAACAAAACAGTGCAAAACAGTGCCAAACAGTGCACTCCACAGTAAAGTCAAATTTATTTTCTTAATCTGTGTGAAGTCAAACTGGGAACTTTAATAGGGAGCGGAGGGAGTATAAAGAAATTGAAAAACCGAGACCTAGACAGAAGTCACAGAACCAACCCGGAACCGGTAATATAGGTCCCGTTCCTGGACCCCATTTTCTCTCTCTCTAATGACCAGCTGGCCTAGAACCAGAATTGGACTGTGACCACCTTATAGTCTTATACCCATCATCCTCCATGTAAAATAATTCACACGGCCTGGGGTAAAACAGGCAGAAAAAAACAATGCAAAATGCTCACTGCATAATTGCATCTACTCAGAGCAACTGTATGGTTCAATATGTGATATATCTTCACATTCTTCTCTCAACATCATTTATTCATTTGTTATGAATGTATGCAATAAATTGACCCGTTCTTATTCAAGAATGCTAAAAAGAATAAAGGACACTCCAGCATGATAGAAAAACATCTGAGCTCTCCTTCCAGAAGTCATCATACCACAAAGAAAATGATTAGCAGCTGACCAACAAAGAAAGTCATCTCCAGACATAAAAGGCTTTGTTGCTTCTTCCTCGTCTACATCATCTATTACTTATCAACCCTGCACATCAAAACATTAATCCAAACGTTTTCGAGGAAGCGTGGGCGTGTAGATATAGTATGTAAAACACATTACAACATATCTAGAACTATGAAAATGAACAAAAACCTGCCACTAACTCAATAAGTGGTGGTGTAATCCTTAGAAGCGATGTGAAAATATGATGCATGAAAACGTGAAAATTTTATCTAAAACTTATTTTCTACAACATAAAAGATGCGAAAAAAGGTCATGCAAATAGTTGCAATAGTAGTCAAACTAGATGACGTGTTAAATAAATTCTATAACAAAACATCTTCCATCTTATAGATTCATTGGACTTCTGTTGTGTAACAGAAAAATAAAATCAACGAGGTAAACCGTTGCCCAGATAATCAACGATAAAAAATACCGTTGCCCAGAGCCAAAAGGCTAAAACCAATTTTATTCCAAGATGATAAGAATGAACCCTGGCGAGGGGTATAAATAGTCTTCTACAAGAAACCCTAATCAAGCCTGAATTAATCAAATCCTAATTAGGCTCATACTAACTCTACTAAGTACTCTACTAATAATAGGCCCAAAGTAAAACATAAAATTAACTTAATAATAATAAATAAACTCTAATGACAGCCCTAACCCGGCCCACGGAAGTGGGCCCAAGCCCGGTCCCGCCCTATGCTCTTCCCGCTCTCTATCAATCTATCCTCCTTCAAAATAACCTTGTCCTCAAGGTTGAAATCCGGAAACCTGCTCACATTTGCCCTGGGGCTGCCCAGTATCTTTAGGAAAAAATGAGATATACTCCTCCCCAGTCCCTGTCTGCTTACCTCTGGGCAGCCGTATAAAGCAATTGCCCTTAAATCGTGAGTCAAAACGAGCCATCAATGCCTGTGTAAGCTCATCCAATGACATGACCAGCTTTCGTGCTCGTAACCAGGTCAACTGATATAAGGCTAGCCCTTCCATCGCAACTACAACGGCCGCCACCTTGTTTCCCGACGGAGTACAGTTCAATTCGAACTGTTGCTCAGCCCTATCAACCCAACTGATCAGTTCTTCTCCGTTAAACGAGGGCAACATCGTGAGAAAGGTGCTGCACAGTCCAATTCCGAACGAGGATGCTGCTGCCGCGTCAAGTGAAGTCACCGCTGTTTAATGCTCCTCCACCGCTGGCGACGCGAGAGCCTCTGTAAACGCAGCCAAGGAGGAAGTGACGCTGCACGGCTGTCTGTCGCTGCTGTGCGCAGATACGATGGGGCTGCCAACCGTGTCCAGGCTTGCTTCCGTCATGACCGGAGGAATTAGCGCCTTGGTAAGTGCTGCCAGATACGGCAATCTCTGCCAGACGCATGCCGTGCTCCTCTAGGGTTTGATTCATCCGAGTTTGCTTGGCGACCATCTCTGTCCAGCAGTCGATCTGAGATCTCATCATCCTGGCGGGACGGGATCCGGCAGGTCGGACCAATTGTTGTGTAACAAAAAAATAAAATCAACGGGGTAAATCATTGCTCAGATAATCAACGATAAAAAATACAGTTGCCCAGAGCCAAAAGGCTAAAACCAATTTTATTCCAAGATAATAAGAATGAACCCTGGCGAGGGGTATAAATAGTCTTCTACAAGAAACCCTAATCAAGCCCGAATTAATCAAATCCTAATTAGGCTCATACTAACTCTACTAAGTACTCTACTAATAATAGGCCCAAAGTAAAACATAACATTAACTTGATAATAATAAATAAACTCTAATGACAGCCCTAACCCGGCCCACGAAAGTGGGTCCAAGCCCGATCCCGCCCCATGCTCTTCCCGCTCTCTATCAACTTCACTTTTTCCCATTAGTTTCCTGCAATTCCAAGTTTGCAATTCAACACTTACTTTTTTGGTACTTTGGAAAAGAACTTATACACACAACATCAATATGGAATATACTACTTTATTCTCAAGTACCATACTACGCTATAACTAAAGACTCGGTAGGTTTCTCAACATAAAGCAGGTGTCCTAGTACACACAAATAGAACAATTAGTCAATAAGCAAGCTAGCACTGCATTTTCTTGTTTTAAGCGGGCTTTTGGCATACCTATGAAATACATCCCCTAAGATCATCCAGAGCTTCTTTCACTGCATAAATGATCATTTTTTTTACCTGTTGGAAAGGGGTGCGCGCAACATAATATAAGAAGAATGACAACAGTAGCAGCAATACTATGCTTGTCTCATAAAGCAATAGTAATAATAATATAAGAAGAATGACAACAGTAGCAGCAGCAGGAAATGTAAAACTCAGTCATATTAATGCATTTGAGTAAAACAAGTATTGAGTATACAGTTTGCGAGATAAAAGAACAAAACAAACAACTGCATCCAAATATCAAAAGATCCAGCATAGGATCAATGTTTTCATTTTCATTTTCATTTACCCCAGTGCCGCAAAGGCTCCCACCTACGGTGGGGTAGGGGGGTCGGATGTACGCAGTCTTACCCCTGTACTAAAGCACAAAGAGACTATTTCCGGATGACCCATAGTGAAAATCCCGTCCAAAATTGCATGGACTGATTGCTGCTTCATAATAAAGAAGCGCAGACAGTTTAGTGAGCCATTTTGCTTTATTCCATCATAATCTCAAGCCAAAAAATAATGACTCTTTGGCTCCATTGCAAATGATGGAAAACAGCATAGGATCAATGTAAATGGCAAGCCTAGACTTATATGGTAAACAAACAGAATACTATCATAGAACTAGAACTATAAAATCTTAGACATAAAGCCGGTATATATAGAGTGGAAAATAGACATTTATGTACATTTCCTAAGATTAAATTGTTTTTTGGAATAAGATTAAATTGTTATACCCTAAGAGATTGTGTTTTTTATCTCTAAGGTTATGCTAATCCTACACATTGAACATATTTACAATTCATAGGAAAGTAAAAGTTCAGATATTCAAAAAAGGCATCGCACCTCCAACTTATCTTCCTTGGCCCTATGATTCTGGGGAAGAGTACGGAATTCCTCAGTCAGTCTAATGCATTCAGGAATACTTTCAGGAGAAACAAAGTCAGCAGCAACTTTAATGCATGACTGCCAAGTAAAAACAAATAGAGGTGGTCATTAATGTGAAGGAAACTATCATAAATGATTGAATATATCAGCAATCAGCATATAAGGCATCACAGTTAAAATCCTAAACAAATATAATTAATATAATGTCGCATTCAAAATTAGATACTAAGCACCCCCAACAAAATTTGTTATCTAGTCTAACTTGGCATTCACATATAATGCTGATTAAATTCTATGGTTCTACTAAAGCCTCATGTACTTCAGTACTTAACGTTCCTCTTAATTTGTATCACTATTACATAATCCCCTTTTGGAAGTAACCGAATAGTTTTTTAATGTTAGAATTATGCTAAGAAATGTACATTAAATTGCTACTAGGAGGAATGCCTTATGCAAAGTAGCATATTCTTTTTCACCTGATACTCCAATGGCAGTCCAAAAACTGACAATTTTGTGCAAAGGTTTAAGGAAGTGGACATAAAAATTTAACAAGACTGAACCGTTTGAACTTAAGTAGTGACTAGAATGCAATGGAAAAGTAGAACGATTGCAGATATAACCTTGGAACATAAGTCAACAATTACAGAGCATGCTGGAGAACAAAACCACTTTCTCTATAGATATTGTAGCAATTTTTTAAGGGTCCATTTGGAACCCAGAAAATGATAGGATATTAAAATTATATTGGTAGGAATTTTGGAAGGAAACAAAATTGGGGACAACCAGGCACATAAAAAATGGTTCAGAGTTCAAACTCTATAAATCAAATCTAGATATTTGCTCAAACACAGTTAATCAAGTATATCGTATAAAGACTAGGAAATATAGATATGTAACAAAAATTCAAAAGCTTTAGTCAAATTTGAGTTTTCTCCGGATTTTTCAATGTAAAACCAAATATAGCTTTTTGGGGTTTCCTTCCGTTTGAGTTTCTTTAGTTTCTTCCAGGTATAGCCTAAATATATGCAGCAAACCACACCTATAGATATGGAAGTAAGAAGTACCAAGTACTCCTAGTGGAGTAGAAGAATAAGCTAATATACCTTTAAATTTCTAACTTGATGTGGGCAGCCGGCTGGTATGAGAACAGCATCTCCTAATTTTTGAACGAAGGTCCATGGTTCAATCCCTGTCAAATAAAGTTTATCAAATGATGGTAAAAGAGTAAGGGACAGCCCGGTGCACATAGGCGTCCCCGCAAGCTGATGGTAAAAGATACGAAGTACTAATCAAAGAAATTTGGAAACATTGATTGGGAAACAGTTGGACTAAAAAACTAACCGTATTCTTCCTTTAGTCTCTTTTTATGCTCAGCAGTCAAGTAAAAAGTTTCATCATGTATAGGATGAACTACCTAAAAGGCAGAAAAAAGGAAAAGAAAAAAGTAAAGACATCATGGTAAACAAAATAAAGAGATCTAAAAACCACTCCAGCAAGAGTGACCCAAATACATTTGAGATGTAATGCACATCATTGCAGTTTGTATATTAAAATCATTCCAAAATAAATATTTCTGCATAGAAAGATAGAAAACATACTTTATTCCATAATGCCTACCTTTCACACTTGATGTTTTCTTTAGTTCAAAACTTTTACTACAACAACAACATCCAAGTCTTAATCCCAAAAGTAGTTGAAAACATTTACTAAATGTTTCAAAATTTTCCAATTTTCTTTCAACCTTTTCAAATCTCAAAACTTCCCAATTTTTTCTGTAGAAAAATGTAACATGTATTTGTTATTTTAATTTTATGTGCTTCCGGAACGGTATAGATAAGACTTAGAGTAGATAGAACTCTTTAACCTGTAGATAAGCTCGCAGAATAGATAGATCCTATTATTTAGGATCTGTAACAACTAGGCTTTATCTGTAACTTGTATATATATCATTGCCGGATGGCTCAATAATATTCAAGGAAGATTAATTCTTCAAACCTACATGGTATCAGAGCCTCGGTTTAAACAACACAATGGTAGAAACCAGTGATGCTGATTCCTCACACACTATCAACCCTAACTCCCAAATTAGCCCTATGACAATTACCAGTCTCCTATTCATTCATCTATGATAATCACTAGTCATAGATTGAATGGAACAAACTATTTGGAATGGTCTCAATCTTTAAGACTCGCAATTGATGGGAGGGGAAAGCTAGGTTACATCACAGGAGAAATCAAACCAAAACTACCTGCAGAAGAAGGTTACAGTACATGGAGGTCAGAGAATTCACTCATAACAGCTTGGCTTCTCAACTCCATGGAGCCCTTAATTGCCAAACCTCATATGTTTATGAAAACTGCAAAGGAGGTATGGGACTATTAAGGAAACTTATTCAGATCTTGAGAACTCTTCTCAAAATTTTGAACTCAAAACCAAGTTGTGGCAATATAAACAAGGAAATAGGGATATCATTTCATACTACAATGAAATGGTATCGCTGTGGCAAGAATTAGATCAATGCTATGGTGATGAAGAGTGGGAGAGTGCTAAGGATTTGGCCAGACATAAGAAAAGAGAAGAGAATGATAGGGTCTATATGTTTCTAGCAGGGATCAATAAGGACCTAGATGAAGTAAAAGGCAGAATACTGGGAAAGAAACCTCTGGCCCCAATCAGAGAGGTCTTTTCTGAGATCAGGTTGGAAGATAGCAAGAGGAGGGTCATGTACAACACTCCAGCTGGGGAACCTGGGGACTCTTCAGCTTTAGTGGCCAGAAGTGATGACAAGAAAAAACCTTGGTGTGATCACTGCAAGAAATTGTGTCACACAAGGGAAACATGCTGGAAACTTCATGGAAAACCATCAGGAGCTGGAAAGAAGAAAGTTGAAAGGGCCCTACAAACTACTGTGACTGAGACTCAACAAGAGTCAAGAGTTGAATCTAAATCACACAGGAACAGATAGAGTACCTACTCCAATTTATACCCACCCAGAAAATCTCCAACCAAGAAAACCCTTCCTGTTCTTTTGCCCAAAATGGGAAAATAACATCATTTTTTTGTTCTGAAAAACCAAAAAGTACCTGGGTCATTGACTCAGATGCAACTAACCACATGACCTACATTCCAAATCTCTTTTCTTCATATCAACCTTGTGCAGGAGATAAGAAAGTTAGAGTTGCAGATGGCTCTTTTTCAGCCATAGCAGGGACGGGAAATATTAAAATTTCCTCATCCATTAACCTTTCTAAAGTCTTACATGTTCCAAAACTTTCCTGCAATCTTATCTCTATTAGCAAAATAACCAAAGACCTTCAGTGTTGTGTAAAGTTTTATCCATACTTGTCACGGCGGTAAGTCGAGTCGCGGCGCCAGCTCACCACCATATCGCCTAGGCGACAAGGCGCCCGCCTAGGCGACAATTAAGCGACTAGTCACCTATATGTGTATATTATATATTTATATTATATATTATATATATAATTATATATTTACATATATAATTATATATTTAATTATATATTATGTATAATATATTACTAACTAAAATGTATACATAACTTAGAATTGAAATCCACAATTAATAACTAAAACAAATAACTAAGTAATATTGACAATATTAATTTGTGTAAAAGGAAATAATGTTAAATAATAACATTTTTTCTAAAAATCTGAATATTAAATAGTAAACAATTAACTAATGTCTTATTTCAAAAATAAACAATGACTCAGCAAGTTGCAACTCATTAGTCATTATGAGAAATCGAGAAGCTACTGACTTGGTTTTTATGAGTGCAACATAAAGTTGAGTGCTCCATCAAATAGACTAAATTAAAATTTGAAACTATGAGACGAGAAATCGAGAAGAGAGCTGAACGCCTGAACCTGGGAAGTCATCTGCTTCAGCGAGGGACAAGGCAGAGAGGGCGATCTGCGAGACCTCTTCTTCCTGGAGTTCTGGGAAGTCGTCTGCTTCAGTGCTTCGTACTTCGTAAGTTTATTAATTAAGGAATAACGAGTAGATTATTTTGGGGCTTTGGAGCCTGGGCTTTATAGTTAATTAGTTTCCAAAAAATAGTTTCCTAAAATCCATTTTATTTCGCATTTGGGATTCTGGGCCTCTGGGGATCTGGGCTTGCGATCGACTTGGGAAAAAGGCGCCGACTTGTCGCCTTCATCGCGCCTGGACGACGCCTGGCGCGCCATTTCTTCTTCCGGCGAGGCGAGTAACTCCGGCGACCTGTCCTCAGCGCCAGGACGCCTAGTCGGCGACTAGGCGACGCCTAGGCGACGCCATGACAAGCCTGGTTTTATCCTTATTGCATTTTTCAGGATCTGGCATCGGGGAGGATGATTGGCAGTGCTAGAGAGGAGGATGGCCTATATGTTTTTTATGAAGGAACACAATTGAATAAACAAGGTCAAGGAAAAACTTGTATGCAAACTATTTCCTTTCCTTGTAATAATGAAGTGTATTTAATGCACTATAGATTAGGTCACCCAAGTTTTTCCTATCTAAAAAGGTTGTTTCCTAAGTTATTTCATAATAAAAATCCTTCAGCATTTCATTGTGATATGTGTGCACTTGCCAAACATCATAGGAGCTCTTATATCCCTCATAGTTACAAACCAACTAGTCCTTTTACTATTGTACACAGTGATATTTGGGGTGCATCTAGAGTTTCAACTTTGAAAGGAAAAAGGTGGTTTGTAACTATCATAGATGATCACACACGGGTCACATGGGTTTTTTTATTAAAGAAAAATCTGAGGTTGAAGATGTGTTCAAGAAATTTTACTCAATGATTCAGACTCAATTCAATACTAATATCAAGATTGTGAGAATTGATAATGGCTTTGAGTATTTTTCTAAGAATTTAAATAATTTTTTGCTGAAAAAGGGATTATTCATCAAAGTTCCTGTATAAATACACCTGCTCAGAATGGAATAGCTGAGAGGAAAAATAGGCATTTGCTTGAAGTCACTCGTGCAATTATGTTTTCTGCTGGAGTTCCAAAATATTTATGGGGAGAAGCTGTTTTACATGTTACCTATTTAATTAATAGGATGCCATCAAAGACTCTAGGATTTAAAACTCCCATTGATACACTTCAAACCAGTTTTCCTGAAACTAGGTTTATCAACTCTCTTCCCATAAAAAATTTTGGCTGCACAGTTTTTGTTACCAACCCTGACAGAACTGCAAGCAAATTTGATCCTAGAGGCAAAAAATGTGTTTTCTTAGGACTATCTTCAACACAGAAAGGCTATAAATGTTTTGACCCTACAACAAAAAAGATGTTTGTAACAATGAACACTGTTTTTGTTGAAAATCAATCTTTTTTTAGTACTCATCTTCAGGGGGAGATTTCTAATGAAGATGTAATAATGTGTCACATATCCATGAAAAACTTGAATTTCTTGACATTAGTCTAGATGCACAATATAATAGACAGTTAGATGCACTAGAAAATAGTCAAGAATCAAAAGAAAATGAAATAAAATTTTCTGAGACAAGGAAAGATGATGAACAGCAGACAAGTAATTTTTTTGGCAAGGTTTATGAAAGGAGAGTTCCAAATCAAAGAATAGAGGACATCTCTGATCCTGAGACTGCTCATGAATCTGACTCAATGTCAGAAAATGACAAAGGTAATAATTCCAGTGATCTAAATCTACCCATTGCTCTCAGAAATGAAAAAAGATCATGTGTTAAATACCCTATCTCAAACTATGTGGAATTACCCAAGAACAAACCAACAGTGGGATGCAAATGGGTATTTACCCCTAAATTCAAGGCAGATGGTACACTTGAAAGATATAAGGTCAGATTGGTTGCCAAAAGATATAAACAAACCTATGGCATAGATTATACAGAAACTTTTGCTCCAGTTGCAAAATTAAATACTATAAGGATCCTTCTATCTCTAGCTGCTAACCTAGACTGGCCACTTCGACAGTTAGATGTGAAGAATGCTTTCTTAAATGGGAAGCTTGAAGAGGAAGTATACATGAGTCCCCCTCCTGGGTTTGAGGGACAGTATGGCTCAAAGGTGTGCAAGCTGGAGAAAGCCTTATATGGACTTAAACAGTCCCCAAGGGTTTGGTTTGACAGGTTTACTCAATTCATAAAGAGGCAGGGATTCAAGCAAGCCCAAGCAGATCATACACTATTCATGAAGTTCTCAAGTAAGGGAGAGATTGCAGTGTTAATTGTTTATGTGGATGATATCATTCTTACAGGAGACTATTATAAAGAAATTGAAGACCTCAAGAAGAAGTTGGCTCAGGAATTTGAGATCAAAGACCTGGGAGAATTGAAGTACTTTCTTGGCATGGAGATAGCCAGATCAAAGAAGGGAATTGTGGTATCTCAGAGGAAGTATGTACTAGACCTTCTCCATGAAACAGGTATGAGTGCCTGCAGATCAATAGATACTCCAATTAATCCTAATCAAAAGTTAGGAGATGTCAAAGAAGGAGTACCAGTTAATGTTCAGCAATATCAAAGATTGGTGGGAAGATTGATTTATCTAGCACATACAAGGCCAGATATTGCCTTTGCAGTTAGTATGGTTAGCCAATTCATGCATAATCCATTCCAGGAACATCTAGATGCTACCTACAGAATCCTAAGGTATTTGAAAAGCTGTCCAGGGAAAGGATTATTTTTTAAAAAAGGTGACAATAGAATTGTGGAAGCCTTTACAGATGCAGATTATGTTGGCTCAATAACTGATAGAAGGTCTACATCTCGGTATTGTACCTGGGGGAATCTAGTGACTTGGAGGAGTAAGAAGCAGAATGTGTTTGCTAGAAGTAGTGCAGAATCTGAATTCAGATCTATGGCTAATGGAATCTGTGAACTACTTTGGATCAAGAGAGTGAATTCAGATTTGAATATGAAATTGGAACTACCTATGAAGTTATATTGTGATAATAAGGCAGCCATTAATATTGCTCACAACCCTGTGCTACATGATCGTACTAAACATATTGAAGTGGACAGACATTTTATCAAAGAGAAGATTGAAGCTGGAATTGTGTGTACACCATTCATATCTACCAAAGAACAAATAGTTGATATCTTTACAAAGGGGCTGTTCAAACCAATATTTGAACTACTTATAAGCAAGTTGGGAATGTATGATATATACTTACCAACTTGAGGGGGAGTGTAGAAAAATGTAACATATATTTGTTATTTTAATTTTATGTACATCCGGAACTGTATAGATAAGACTTAGAGTAGATAGAACTCTTTAACTTGTAGATAAGCTCACAAAATAGATAGATCCTATTATTTAGGATCTGTAACAACTAGGCTTTATATGTAACTTGTATATATATCATTGCCGGATGGCTCAATAATATTCAAGGAAGATTAATTCTTCAAACCTACATTTTCCTTACTAGTTGAGATTTGAGAATTTGACAGTCTCACTAATCCTAGGAGTAACGTAAGGTCTGCGTGCATCTCACGCTCCTCAGACCCTAGAGCCTACTTCTGAGTGCAACATAGAGGCAATGTTTTGTTTGGTTTTACACAGTACCATGTTAAGCTTTCACCATAATTTGAGACAGTTTGCAGCATTTGGACCTTCTAAAAACTCTAAATGTAGCTTTTATGATCATTTTGATGCATTCAATTGAGTGCGTTTAAAAGCACCAAACACAGCATTCTCATGATTAAGTTCATTTTCCAATTTCAAAGTGCTACAAAACTAGAGCTTTTAGAAATTTTTGTGCCAATTAGTTTAACATATTATATTTTTAATTATTAAATTAAGTTTAATAGATAAAATAGTATCTTCACATAATTTACACCTGCTTTGTCTACGCATATACTAATAAATATACCAATAACATTATTAATAAACCGCATTTTTATAAAATATATTATTAATCTCAAAAAATGAAAATAATTTACTGTTTATAAGATAAATTTTGACTAAATATTATTGATGTAAAACTTCATACTTTATACATTTGTCTTAAATTTCCTTTAGTATTTCAGCGTTCCAAATTCAAACCGCTGTTATTTTCCTGAACACGTGTGTTTTTGCAGTTCTCACTACTCCAAATGCCACAGCACCAATTTTGTAACACTTGTTATCTTAAAACTGAAACATTGAAACTGCTACTATCTTAGGGACCAACAGACCAGAAAGGGTTTTTGACTTTTTCCAAGTTATACCTGCGGCACTGGATAACAATAAATGTGTCTGAACTCCTTGAAATGCTTTCTGAGATATTTTTCCAACTTAGGAACATCTTCTCTCCTAAAAATATCCCAGAGAGCACCACCATCATCACAAATATCTTCTAATGCTTCAGGGGCATTATTATTACTCAACTGCAGTTCACAATTAGTGCTTGTATTTTCACATTCCTCCAACACACTATTTGCACTTGTGCCATGAGTGCAAACCATATTTTGCATACAATTTGGTTCACTTTTTCCTTGATCAACACAGTTTGCATTTGCAGTAGTACCATGTCTAGAACATTCTTCATTTAGCCCATCAAATCCATTTTCACACTCTTGCTCCTGGCTGACCTGCCGTTCCAATAGATCTTGTGCAGCATGCTGCTCTTTATACTTCTGTATACTTGAAAGGTGTTCCATTCCTAATTTTGTTTGATGAATATGTGTTAGTACATTCACCTGCAACACGGAGTTTAAATCAGTATAGGCCGAATATTGAACTAATGTAATCACTCCTTTTCTAATGCCAGACAACAAGTGTCTCAAAGGGAAAAAGGAAAAAAATTAGGTGTCATTTGGTAATGTGTTAAAGGCAATTGTGCAGTATCTTCCAATCTCTTGGAGGGCAGGAGGGTGGAGGTGATTGATGAGCAATGATGATTAGGAGGAACAAATCAAGTTCTCTCCCTCAGTTGAGAAATGTACGACTGGTTGCAATAACTTGTATAACAAAATTGTTACTCCATAAATGATTATTCTTCCAACAAAATGATAGTTAAACAAAATTAGGAAAGCAACGGTTCTAATACATAATGTTCTTGTTTTGTATGTTTGAAAAAATAAGAATAATAAAAGTTTGGCCGATTTAAGACTTGGAAATTGTGGGAAACATGATTGTGCTGTTTTTATTGTTTTCAGTAACTTGTTTCATAGTTACATTTGCAGAAGACAGTGTAAAAAAAATACCGCATCAGACATATCACAGTGCAGCTTTGTTACTGAGTCCCCACGCCCTAATTCTTGATGAACTCCATAAGCAATATACGTCTTTGGCCCCATATCGGGTTTCAAAGAATCTTTTGGCAGCTTCACTGCTAGATTTAAGTGCCCACTTTTAAGACAAGTAAATGCTTTGAAAGGAAGACAACTTTCAAACTCAGCAGCATGACGGGGCAACATCTCATCAAATAAATTGGATGGAGGCCAGTCTTTCAACTTCAGAACTAAAGGCCAATTCTTTGGGTCAAACAGGCCTTCCATATATCCTTTAAAAAAATCGGCAATACTAATTTCAACCTGCACATCATCCCAGAAATAAAATTAGCAACATAAGACCTCTAGAAGAGATTGGCCACCCTATATATATTAATCATTACCATAGGCCTACAAGGAAATTGTGACAATACCAAATCTAGCAAATGTGGCTAAAGATTACCACATGGCAGTGGTTATCACTCACCAAGCAAACTAACACGTCTTCCAGGTGTTGAGTATCCCATTTCAGTTGTCCACTCAGTTTGAGCCTAGTAAGGGGGTGTTTGGATCTGATTCTCAAAACTGATTCTGCTCCTTCAGGGAGCAGAAGCAGAAGCTGGAGTGTTTGGGTGAAATTTCAGAAGCACTTCTGGTGCTCTAATTTACTCTCACAATCAGTTTTTTTAGAAGCTGGGGGGTACCAGCTTCTGAAAACTTATTCTGATTCTGCTTCTACTTTAAAAAAGAAGCAGAAACAAAATCAGTTCCAAACACCCCCTAATATACACATGTGAGGTAAACCTCACTTTTTGAAAATCCTTTTGTGCTGAGTTAGGCTCAGTTTGACATGCTTATGACCTGACCCAATGGTGGTTTGTGGGACACATTCCCCCTCAAAGGTTTGGGATAGCCTTATTGTGGTCACTTTGGGCTCATTTCCCATTTTCCCACCTACTCAGTTCATGTCCGACCCAACTTGGTTTGTAGGACACTTGCCCACTCGTGGTTTGGGGCCTTACGGCTTGTGCGCATTGGCCACCCATTCAATTGTAATTCAGCTTGGGTAGGGGGTGTGGTTGAGCACCTCAAATCAGTTTGTATATTAGGTTTTACTCTAGTATATAAATGTGATGTGAGGTAAACCTCACTTCTTGAGTAACCTTTTAGGATGAGTTTGAACCTGACAAGAAATTCGGAAACACAGACTATAATTATTGAAATGCACTAACCTCGGACCAATCCAAGCAGTTAACAGCAACAACATCTAGAAGCATCATATGATGCTTACTTCTTTTCTGACGAAAGGCACGCATCATAACCTGTGGTTCCCAACTCAACCCTGATGCAGTTTCCAGTACATTACTGACAATTACAGGCTGTCCCTTACTCCAATGCCATTGAAAATGATTCAGATCCCCAGGTTGAATGTCCTTAGCTTCAGGATGGTACAGATAGTTATCAGCAGAGTCTTCCCGAGATGCTGCCTTGAACAGCTTGTCACTGAGTTCATTCTTGCTAAAAGTTCTCAAACAAGAACACCATAGATCAGGAAACCCAGATAATTCGTTCAACATGCAAGTATTTGCTATTTCTTCTGCTCTGGCTATTAACTCTGAAACATAATTTTTCTCCAACAGGTGTTTTAATACTAAGGCTCCCTCATTACAACCACCCATGTTCTTTGGAGGACAAGGAATGTCACCTTTCCCCCTAGATTTCCATTCTATGCAGCAATCACCATCACTCTCAGTCGGTTTCACTTCAGATTTTAACTCAATTCCCTCACCAGGAAGTTCTTCATCAATATGATTGGGTTTCATTTCAAATTCTAACACAATATCTTCTTCACTGGATTTTAACCCAAAGTCTTCAACAGCAAGTTTTTCATCAGTCCTTTTGCGTCTTCCTTCACTAACAGGTTTGCTATCAGTGTCACCATACAGATAGCCTATCCCATTGTTAATGTATTCGAAAACTACTTTTTCATTCCCCTGTAAGTGGCCATTCCTCAGCTCTTGGCAGCAGGTAAGACAAAGGTCAAAGGAACACTTTGAACAACTTCTATGATAATCAAAAATTGATGTGCTGCAATTGCTGCTGTAAGAAGTAGTCGCACATATGATACTTGAGCAAAGAATAATAATAAAACATAAACGGGAAATAACATCAAATAATACCAGCCATCACTCATAAATCAATAATAATATATACTTTGAAAATGATTTCTAATAATACCAACTATTTGAATATAGAACAAAAATAATATGGAGCCACTTTTCGATAAGAAATTTAGTCATTTAAGACATCAAAACTAATATCAAACCATCAAATAAATGATATTTGGAAATCCGGTCACTTATTTGATATTTTGATATTAGATTATGATGAGTTAAACGACTAAAAATTTTGTGAAAAATTGCTCTATATCACTTTTGATATATATTCAAATAGTTGATATTATTAAAAGTTATTTTCGAAGTATGTATTATTCTTAGTTCATGAAAGATAGTTTGTATTAAAGTGATTTTCCCAAACATAAAAATGAAAATGATAAGTAATTTATAATGAATAGAGCGTTAACAACCTACCAATACATTCGTTCATTCTCGTCGCAAATGGCTCTTTCTATATGTACGTCTGAAGGGGTTACTCCTATGAGGGGGGCAAGATAAAGAAAATTAAGTTTGTAATCTTCTCATCGTAAACTACAGTTCATAACCAACTCATATGGATAACATTTCCTAACATTATGTTTGGTTGGGAGGGAGGGCATTCGGCAGCCTAAAATATTAAGATTTGAGTTTCTATTCTAAAAAGTTAACTTGATAAAAGTAGTTCGCAGTAATATATGTAATTTAATATCTTTATAATTTGCCAGTTTGGGATGACTTATCATGCCCAACAAGATGATGGCCCATTGGAGGATACAAATCTTAAAATATGTTAGGAAATATGGGTGTAAGAAGAACCTCACATCATGCATTATTTTGGCATGAACTAGGTCTATTTTAATGGAGGGGGAGGAGTGAGCTCTCCCTCTCCTTACTAGTATTTCAAATTTTCAACCCAATTATCTCCCCTTCCCCTCGAACCAAACACGCCCAAAGGGAGCATTAAGAACTACACAAATCTATGCAACACCGAAGCATGAAAACACGACTGCTCATAAGCCCCTCATATGTTCTCATTTCATGCACTAAAATTATTAGCTTTCATTCATAGAATAATGTTCTAAACAGCATATAAATAATTTTAAACATTAAGCCACGGTATGAGGAATACAGCAAATGAATACCTTGTATTTTAGCTTCAACCTCTCTCTCCCTCGTTTGATCCACATTGAATTGTCTCAAGAAAGGCAGAAGCGCTCTCAAAATATGTTTCGAGTATTGAACCTTGTCCTCACAGCTAACTTTAAATTTTGATTTATTCATTTTCTGTAGTATAGAAGAACAAAGCAAGGGCAGTATACACAACTGGTATCGAAGAGAAAACACTTGTATAAAAACTAAAAAGAGCAAAAGAAGCAGACCTTTAAAGACCCATCCAATCTCAAGCATGCTTTGCAATTGCAGTTATGGTGACACACAGGGCATTTTTTTGCAAAAGCCTCTTCTGGCATGCCAGGGTACCTTCTTTCAAGGAAACAAAAAGGGATTATGACAACGGACTGCATAAAACTACAAAATCGCTATTGAATACAACTAAAAATGGGGCACGGGTGTGCTCTGTGCCTGAAGCACAATAAGAGAAATTTCCTTTCAAATTTTTCTAGAGTGGGAGCTGCAAATGAATACTGCAAAATGAGCTTCCACACTAGCATTTCTCGGGTGCATTTGAGCTTGAGATGCTACGGGATGATAACATGGAGGCGGATTGGAGCGTAATTGAAGGGGGAAATGGAAGGGAAAAAAATGTGGGGGAAAGTAAAACTTGGTTCAAACTCAATAAATCATTTTTAGGCATTTATTAAAACACATCTTGTGATTATATTTCTACAGTACTATATTAAGAGGAAGGTGATTTTAAGAATTTCTAATCAAATTTAACTCTCCTCCATATTTTCCAACATTAATCCAAACATAAGAAATGGGTCATCCGGAAACAGTCTCTCTGTGCTTTAGTACAGGGGTAAGGCTGCGTACATCCGACCCCCCCTTACCCCACCGTAGGTGGGAGCCTTTGCGGCACTGGGGTAAATGAAAATGAAATGAAAATGAAATCCAAACATAAGAAACTGTTTTCTTAGCATTTCACATTTCCCCCCTTTTCCCTACCATTTTAGCTTTCCAAAGACAGCCTTTAAGTCCAAAACAAAGTTAGTTTCCAACAATTCAGAACATTGGAATCAGCTAAATAAATATATTGTAAACATCCAGAGGAACTAAGTGGCCAAATTTATTTTATTTTATTTTATTTTATTTTATGTTTGCCTCTAATTTAAGTCAACAAAGGCAAAACGGTTGGATAGGGACACAAGGTGTGCTCTCACATCAAATTTTCAACAACAAACGGGTAAAGAAACATGTAAATACAGAAATTTATTTTAGTGTTAAGACATCCTACACCAGTTATGTATGAACATACAAATAATATATGACATTGATCTACTGCTTCTATTAGGTAATGGGCGACACTCAGGGTTTTAATATGATATTATTATTATTATAATTATTATTATTATCTCTATTTAATGTTGTAATTTCTGTTGCGATTGTTGTAATTCACTCCTATCTTCTCTCTTTAGAGATAGACTAGAACTCTTACTAGCTTCTATAAATATGTATAACTATGTTGCTATTATAAACCAATACTTTACAAGGCATCAGAGTTCATTTAGTTTAAATGAACAATTGACGACTCAACTATGAGCACGTGAACTATAAAATTGATTTTCCCACCATTTAGAGGAATGTTAAATCATTGCATAAAACTTTGGGTTACTGCTTTTATTTTAGAATGCAACTCCGAGTCTTAATAGTTAGTCTATGTCTTTATACCATCTCGAGATGCAAACCAAACAGTATCTCCTTGTATTGCAGCTGGTGCAACGAACAGTCCTCCCTTTGTCATTTCTCTTACATTGGTGGCATGTGTTTTTCCAAAGTTCATTACCCTGTTAACCAAAATGCAGCATGGTCAGCAAAAGTTGAAAAAGAAAACAATATTAAAAAAACATCACCATCACCATCCTTTAGATTGCATTCTTACTGTTCTTCTATTTGTACTCTTATTCTCACTAGAAGGCACTTCTTTCTCAGTCTCCATTTTCCATATATCTTCTTCTTCACTGTCTCCTTCTTCAATTCCTTCTGCTTCTCCTTTACAATACATCAGGTTGGAATTTTCTGCCTCTTCTTTCTTAGACTTTGAACTACCTTTCTCGGCACAATCTTTTCCTTTTCCTATAAAAGCATCACCATTTCCAGGTAGATTTTTACTTTTTGGCGGTCTTCCTCTTCTACGAACAGGCTTATGCATATCTCCTATTTCCACATGAGTAAGAACACCACCCCCACAATTTCCTTCCTTTTTAGGCCAAGAAATGCCAAGAACTTCGCCGTCCCTTACAACCCCACTTTCCACCGCCTTCCCGGGCTCCAAACTTTCCCCAGGAAGATCTTTTCCTTTATAATCTCCACCATTCGCAGCTCCCGCCCTAGGCGGTCTTCCTCTTTTCTTGGGAGGATATCCCTGCTTCAAAGAGGGAAGTTTCTCTGCTTCCATCGAATCTTTCATTTTTGTCTCCGAATTCCCTCCCTCCGATGGAAAATCAATCTTACTACTACTACCCTTTGGGGCCCTTCCTCTTTTACGCTTCTGTTCTTGCAGAGACCCATCTTTCCGATTCACTGGCTTTGCCCGCTGTTCGACAGCCGCAGGAAACTCCTTCCTATGACTACCCTCATTTTCCGTTTGAGTCCCGCTTTTATTTTCCTCAAGATAAACACCGTACGATTCAGCTTCCCTAGAAAAAGGTTTCGCCTTGCTACTCTTAGGTGGCCTTCCTCTTCTACGCTTTACCAGTAGCTCCGCCGGCGCCGGAAAACCAATTGTACCACTACTATCATTCTCCGTTTGAATCCCAGCCGTATTTCCCTCCACAAAAACGCAGCTAGTTTCCGTTTCCCCTTTGGCATGTGTCAAAGTAACGGCTTCCTCTGCTTTATACTGAGCGGGGAATTTCTTGTGGGCGTCAAAATGGTGTCGTTCGGGAGAAGTATTCAAATTGAAGCAGAACTCGGGCGTACTTTCATGCATATTTCTCCTTTCGTCCCCTGCAACTGAACTATATTTGAGGAACAGTTGATACCTAAATCTTTTTACCGCTAGATTGGATTATATTTGAAGAGCTGGGAATTGCCGAATTGGTTAGGAAAGTGTGGGTTTACCAAACTTTAGTTACTACAGTCTACAGTACTTCCTTTTTTGTTTTAGTTACTCCATAACTTTACTTATTTACTTCGTATTTATTTAGCTTACCAATTTTTGTGGTGAAAGGTAACAGTGATATGACAAAAGATTATTTTTAAATACTCCTTTCGTATCTAAATGATTTATAAAATCAAGTTACTTTAACACTCCAACATTTGTTTCAATTTATTTATTTATTTAACTTACCAATTTTTATTATTTCTAGTTTTTATTTTGCAATTTTATACCTCTCAATGTAGTTTCCGAATATGTAGATTTTAATTATTAAAACTGATTTTACTCTTCGTAGAGATAATTTAACTTTATTGGTGATCGCCTTAAAAATCGTAAATTGAAATTCAATTCGGGATGGGGGAAGTATATATATGTTGCATGTTGAATTAGGAGAGATGCATGAGCTTGTTCGTAGAAGAGGAAGGCACAATAAAGAAGAGATGCACGGCCTAAAAATGCATTGATTCATTAAATTTTAAAAAAAAATGTAATGTTACAAGTTAAATTCTAAAAACTCATATCAAGTTATAACACGCATTTATAACATACTCCCTCCGTCCCAAATTTATCTTCATAGTTACTATTCACACGGTCAATTCAAATTACTCTTAATCTTTTACGGAGTACTTTATATATCAAATTTTTATCAAACTTAAATTTTCTTGATCAGACTTTGTAGCGGATTTAATGTAGTTTCTGAATATGTAAATTTAATTTACTAAAAATAATCTGAGTGTGAACGGGGATCAAGTTCCTTTATCGTCAGTCAAGCATCGTAAACCGAACTACGAAGATAAATATGGGACGGAGGGAGTGATAAATATAGAAAAAGTTGTTTTAAAGTGATATTTAACTAATATTTACCTTATGATCAAATCGATTCAGAATTCGTATATGATTCGTTAACTATTAGTATTGTTAAACAAATACAAATACAAATCGAAGTTAATATTCCTTTCATATTCGAATTCCTATTCGAAAAAATTAAATAAATACAAATACAAAAGCACACTATTCAACTCGATTCAATTCGTTTACAATCCTACGCTATTCACATGTTGTACTTGAATTGTATTTTATTTATCAATGTATTTAATGGAGTAATGGGACTAGGTCTGAAGCCTAATCAGCCCCAACCCCGAACTTGGACCCGCGGATCCAAGTCCACAACCTGGAGCCTGTCAGTCAGCCTAGCGGGGAGCCTTCCAGTCCGGCCAACCTCCCAGCCCAGAAGAGTAACGGTCAAACAATTAATGCACTATTAATTATGTATTTAATTTCGTATTAATGTTGTAATTAATTAGTCATTATTATTGATAGCGGTTACGATTTGTATACGCCTATAAAAGGCGGGTTGTAATTCAGATTATGGGAAAACAATTTCTATATGCTATTTCTGACAACTAAACACTTTTAGCTTCTTTCCTTATTCATATTATTTTCCTGATTTCCTGCTTAAGTGTCGTACGTAGCTTTCCTAAAAGTCTACGAGCGTCCTATTTTGGACCAATATTGTTAGAACTTTAGTTTTTGAAAAATATTATTAAAATTCTCTCATTTTAAATTTTCAAATTTTTTTTTTTTAGTTTTTACGAATAAGAAATGAAATATAGATATCAATGGTCAAAGTTAATTTGTTTTGACAGGCGTGACAATGGAAACGTTACAACTAAAATAGAACGAAGGAAGTACAACATTTACACAAAGTCATATCAGAGTTACATATTTTTTCACATATAATTTACAAATTTTATAAAAACATTTGCACCAAACATATAACTTTTATATCAATAAATAATACTCCCTCCGTTTTCTAATAGATGGGAGTATAGCCTTTGGCACAAGATTTAAGAAGGAATTAATAGGGGTAGGATAAAAGGTGTAGTGGGTTGTGTGTAAAGGTAAAAGTAGGAAAGAGAATGAAAAAAGTAGGAAAGAGAATGAGAGTAAATGAGTATATTTATTGAAAAAACTTACCAAAAGTGGAAAGGAAGACAACTAATAGAGAACATCTCAAAATGAAAAGAGGACCAAGTATCAGAGAACGGAGGGGAGGGAGTACTTTGTATTACATTTATAAATGAATCACAAGTCTTAAAATCATTTACATGATACTTTGATAGTATAATTGTTTTAGTTCAAAACGAGAAAGTTATATGCACATATGTATGATAAAATAATATAGATAAACATAGGTAAACAATACGGCTACACAATGTCTGGTTTTTAATTTATGCATACTAGATTGCTGAAATTCAGTATTGTAAAAGTACGAGTATGTCGAGATTTCAAGAGCATACAAAAAACTAAATATAGTATCTCTAAAAGTACGACAGGGCGGTCAGCTGTTGCCACGCCATCCGCCTTTTGGTCTGCTCACCGGGCTGCTGCCTGAATCGGACCGAACCGGTTCGTACTTGTGGAGGCCGGTTCACCCATTTCCAGACCGAGTTTGGATGAGGTCAGATCGGTTCCTACCATTTCGGCCATTCCGGATCCAACCGTGAGCTCCGTTTGTCCAAATTCGGCTTCAAAAATAAGGTACGAGATATATTGAGCGTTTTATTATGGATAAATCATCGTCGGACACCATGATTGCGCTCACTTCCACAAACTACAATATGTGGAAGCCTCAAATGGAGGATTTGCTAAATTTGAGGGATTTAGCCGATCCTCTTGATAATAATGGCATCAAACCGGATAAAAAAACGGATGAAGAATGGACAAAAATGAATCGAAAAACTGTCGCACAAATTCGACAGTGGATCGATCATAGTGTGTTCCACCATGTTGCTCAAGAACAGAGTGCTTACACACTATGGGAGAATCTTGGTAGCATGTATCAAACAAAAACCACCCGCAATAAGACGTTACTAATGAGACGATTAGTAAATCACAAATTACGAGGTGGTATTTCGGTGTCAGAACACACTAGTCAATTCCGGGATCTCGTGAATCAGTTGAGCACCACCGGATGGGTTCTCAAAGATGAAGAGCAGGCGATACTACTCTTGAGCTCTCTACCTGACAGCTGGGAGACTCTTGTTGTCACTCTCAGTAATCCCGCTCCTAATGGAAAGGTGACTATGCAGATGGTCACAAATGCCCTAATGAATGAAGAAGCCCAAAGGAAGGAAGCTGGGGCGGAACAATCATATGCCCTCGTATCAGAAACTAACAGACGAGAGGGAGGCAGAAATGGATGAAGAAGTCGAGGTCGAGGCCAATGTCAAAACAGAGGAAATTCTCAAGTTCGTGGTAGATCACAAGAGACAGGTATGTCCTTTGAAAACAATACTTGGTTTGAAGGATATTGCAATTACTATGGTAATTATGGGCATAGAAAAAGAGATTGTAGAAAGTTTCTGCGAGAGCAACCACAGACAAGTTAAAATACTAGCCAAGAAGATGGTGCGACCATGGTTAGTTTGTAATCAGATGTGTTACTTGTTACACATGGTGAATAAGAGTGTTTACACGTAGGTACTCATGATGTTGAGTGTGTCACGCCCCGGACCTAGCCGGACACATCAACAACCCGCCGTACAGTACGAATAGTCAACCGCAGTTCAACTCATCCATACTATACAAGGCGTCATGAATATCATTCACACGTAGTACATCCATAAACAAACATAATGTAAAACATGCATTTAAAACAGCGGAAGCATTTAATAAAAGTGTCTTAGCCACACTTTGGCAACCATGGGCATGCAAGCCCCCAAATAGTTATTCAAAATAATATCCATGAGCATTATTATAATTGTTTTGAAATCAGAAAACAGAAGAAGCACGAACCACGTCTTCCCCTCTGAATATCCCGAGCAACGGGCACCGGTAGCAACCTTCAAGTCCTACCTGAAACTGTGAGGTGGCCTCCCCCGTGAAGGGGAGGTCAGTACTTGGAAATATTTGACAAGTACAATAGCAACTATACTAAGTATAATCAACGTTTTAATTTCCAAGACCCTTAACTTAGGGTACTATTATATTATGGGCCATAACCCTCGGTTACCCCTTTTACTTTTAACTGTACTTACTTTACATAAAGTCAGGTAGTCGGCCCGTAGGCCCATATTCATTTAGAATTCATCGTTTCCATTCCCCCGTGACCGCAAGTCACGATAACCCCGTGGGGTCCCATCGAGCCCCAATTGTATAGCATGGGCTCGGCCCAACTACATCTCTATACAATCCTCTAGCTCAATATATAACATATCAAAATTTGTATGGCAAGGGCTCGGCCCAACTACGTTTCCATACCAACCATAACTTCGTGGCAAGGGCTCAGCCCAACTACGTTTCCACGGAGGTCACATATACATGGCAAGGGCTCGGCCCAACTACGTTTCCATGCTAATCATATTACATGGCATGGGCTCGACCCAACTACATCTCCATGTCATCCTAGAGCCCGACTCTAATTATTTTCATAATCAAATTCTCAAGCAAATCTTATGCCTAGAATCAATTCCCGTAGGGGGCCTTTAGGCCTACCCCTATCACACCTTAGTGTTCACGCAATTCAACCTTAAGTTCCTCTTGAGACTACTTAAGGCATATCTATTCACAATCCTACCTCTTAGGATTTGTTTCACCATGTATTTATATTAATTCCCCAACTAGTATTTTGATACTAATTGTATAATCTCAGAACATGCCAAGTTCCTATTTTCCATTTGGCATTTCATTTCAATTGATTTCTCAACCCAAGTATAGTTTGATCTCAATATCAAAAATATCACTTTAATCCATTCATGAATTTCATACATGAAGTAAAGTATATTTTATCACAATGTCATCATAGTAATTCCATTAACATGCCGTTCCATTCATTTCACATAATCATACACAATTATTCTAAATTTGTATATCATGCTTCACTTACTCATATCCATATTATTTTCATTTAGGCATTATTAGTTATTA